CTGATAAAAAAATGAAATAAATATGTCACATCATGTCGGCTTGCGTGGAATAGAGTAATAATTTTTTGTCATGTTAATATATCACCATTGCATCTAGCTTATTCAAGAGAGCTGTCCTCTCATGACCCCTCATGCATTCGATCCAAATGGTTATCTATCGTTGTAATTACCACATGATTATTTCTCCTTATATATTTTTTTCACTCTCTACACTTATCCTCCTACTGTACACATGGCCAGAGAGTGCGATAAAACTTGATTGTCACAAGCCACGCACATTTGACTCGGTGGTGAAAAAAAAAAAAAATCACTTTTGTCATGTGTCTCCTTCCACATTTTTTGCCTTTCCAATTTTTTTACTCCAGCCTCTATTACCTGTAATTATCATTTGTATAATTCTCTTGGAGTTTCATGACTGTACTTATTGCTAATACTTCCTGATACTGATTTCCCGAGACCGATAGTAATTTCAAATATAATTACAAGTTCCAGAAAATAATACACACAATATGAATGATTGAATTGATTTAAATATCGATGTATCAATGATTCATTCACGTTTATCCATATTCACACTTCGCACGGTGTATCATTACTTAACACTCGACCTCAAAAAAAATTTTATTTCTCATTGCATTAGCATTTGTCACACCGACTCGGCCTTGAAGCACTGAAGAATCGTAATAACCTCATAAATATATTGTAATATCCAGCATACTAATTGATCCAATTATTTCACTATAAAAAATTCCTGAAAATTACGGGAAAGAAAAAAAAAATCCATAAATCATAATTACCTTTCAGGATGAAAAATGAGTGGTATAGTATTAATAAAAATCGAATGAGATGAGAATGCCAAATGCATAAACCCTCAAAAGACGATGATCTAATGGATCCTATAATAAGTACAGATATAGACGTCACCAGCGTTTATCAATTAGCACAAGAAATCCCACGACAATTAACGCACCACTTGTGCATAATCACCCATAAGATTAATTTCAATAATTCACCAAAAAGCTCCATTTACCCCTGAAATCACGTAAAAATAAAGCAACGCGGCGACACGATCGGTGCAAAAGAGTAATTACCCCTAGTCCATAAATTGCCTCCGGAAAAAGAAGCTTCAGGATTGTAGCATTCTCTCTGGTTTACTGGCGTGAACTGGTGCAGCTAGCAATTATTGCATGCTTGTGGCATGTCCAGTAATTATCAGCGTACCGGCCATGTCTGTAGTAGTCCACTGCCCTCCCCCTCCCGTACCCCTCACTCCCCATTTGCTAACTAAAAATTCCCCCATTGAATTCAGACGATAAAAAAAATAATTCTCTTTAAAGGGAATGAGAGGGGAAGGTAGGGTTATAAAAATTGTACCAAGGTGTTGGGATTTTGATCCTCGTAATGCAGAGGAGAAATAATCTCCTCTTCTTTTTCATTCTTCGATGTTATAAGTCGGAAAGAAAGTCGAGGACTCACTCGTGTATTTTTTTGAGGGTAGAGGGCACACATACGAGATGCTAAGGGAGAGGGAGTGAGAGGGCAACGCAGGTAATTGCTAGGCCGACGGGTCGATAATGAGCCCTGGGCTTCGGGGAACCGATTACACCCGGTCCCGAGGAGCCAAGAGAGCACCCAAAAAGCCAGTGGAAGTGGCTCCCCTCGAGAAAGAAGACAACTCGATAAGTCCACTTTTACAATACACTAGTGCAACTGAGATGGACGCCAACTTCTCGCCATCTAAAAACCAACCAACTCCCCGTGTCTGGCCGTCCTTTACTCGTCTATGAGGTATGGGCTTGATGGAATCCTCTGGTTCCCACAAAACTCCAAAATTGGATGAGATTTTTTTCATTCGACTCCTTTTTTTTTACTCTCGGCCCAGCATAATTTCTTCCTTTAAGGGAATCCCATGTGAAAGGAAGATGGATATTTATATCAAATCGAAACTCTCGAAAGTTGAATCCCAAAATCTGTCACACTCATTTTCCAAGTGGCCATCACCCAGCTCACAGACAACCCAGTAGGAAATTGCGGACTATCATCGGAACTTAATTGTGATTGAGAAGCTCGAATCATAACGGCACGATCCAGTGCATCTAACGGTTTAATCCGCTCAACCTAGAGTCTCACACACAAACGCAAGACTTTCAGACAGAAAACCAAGTTAATGGTTAACAAAATCACTTGAAAATAAACGAGGCGACGTCCTCGATCGGCGCCAAGTTGCCCCCCCTTGGCCCTCGGTACCACCCTACAACATTACTAATTGCTAAATTATCGAGATGATGAGTGAAAAAAAAAGGGAGAACGGCTGTTAGGAAGGCGAGAAAAACCTGAACTTCCTGCATGCAATGAACAACCAGGATCATATATCTGATGTATGTCTACAAGATGAGATGTTATTCCCTCGAAGAAGAGACAGAGGTTGAGACTAAATGTGGAAGGGATGAGGTGGGTGATCTAATTTCCCGGGCAGTCGTGCAGAAAATGATCTACCGGTTGCGATTACGAAACGGCTTCCAGTCTTTGCCGTTGGGCACACGTTCCTTCTTCATTCTCATATTCCTCAATTTTTTTGTTTTGTCAATAAATTTTTTACCTTATTACATTTTTTCACGTGGTTGTTGTTGTTTTTGCTCTCGTTTCGCAATCAACCTGTCCGACTTCCACGTAGTGCCGCGTTCGACGAGATTATTGACGTGTCGTGCATGTGAAGAGTTATTACGAGAAGTTGTGAGGAGATTGTCTTTTGAGAATGGAAAATGGGAGATTTAATTTTTATTGAGGTCCCAGATTTTTTTGCCATTTTAATCCTTGCAAAGACGAGCCATAAAATGGCGGAAAACATCGGGTAACTCAATTATTCTGTTATCCTATCACAAAATTCCGGTTGATTAAATTTGCCCATCACTGGTCAGTACAATCGCCCATACCGCTTTAATAAAGTGTTGATGTTGCTGGTGGTGGTGGGGATTTGTAAGAGGAATAATTTAAATGGACGCGAGGAAGCCCAAGTACTGCGGTTTGCTCCTGTGGCGGCCTAGTGGTACGCAAATTAGCATAATGAGGCAAAAATGTTGATATTAATATGGGGTACTTAATAACGCATTTAAATAATTAAGGTTTTCAATAATTCCTGGAGCAGTCAAGTGTGTCGCAATGTTTTATCTTTTTTCCAAGAATTTTCTCAAGATTTTCCACTCCCTCTTGTATATCCTGCAATGATAATAATTGTCTCATTAGCAATCAAGCTGATGTCCTTCATCGGAGTACGATCGGTTGGATAAAATATTTAGTAATTCATTCATCATGCCAGCCCTGACAGGCTGGAATTTTGGATCTATTCCAAGAATGATCCCGTGTCACTGATGTCTTAATTTCAACATTGCATAATTCCGCAACAGCTGTATCGTTCCCCTGCGTCGATCGCCGCCGGATTGCTTCCATCTGGTGCGGAGTCCTGATTCCCCATTTCGCCGCAAGAACTTCACGTGCCCTCCAGGGCTGTCTTCGATACTGTCGTGCTCGTCTCCAGCAGGTGTTAAAATTTCACCTCAAACCACTAATGATCGCCAAATATCCGCGGCCTTCTGGGACATATTTCGCGCCGCCTTTATGACTTCCAAATGTATTGGAAATAAATCCCAAGAATTCTATTCACGCAGATTCTATTTGGAGATTCCACGGTATTCGCCCTGGGGGATTCACACACCAAAATATTTTCATATTTCAGACAAAATAGCTGGTGAATTTGAAGGATATTAGACATGGTAAATTTCGTTGATGGATTTAACCGATTTAGTTTCTATACTTTATTTGATGGTACGTTGGTCTCGGCTGTCCGTCGGCCCGGTGTTACATCTCCCACGAGAGTATCCCACCACCTACTTTATAACCGGCCAACAGGAAAGACCTCGTATATTCCCTTTCAGTGCTACACTTTCCGATTCCCATTGAGCGAGACGGCGGTAACCCGAGGCACTTTTTCCATTGTCGATAATTCTACAAAGCCCAACAGCTCTCCCTCGCGTGTTCCACCGAGTTCAATGCAAAAATACCGGATCACTAAATCCCCGAAAATCACGACTCCGCTGTCCGACGGAGAGTAAAAAGTACCATCAATTTTTCTTATTTCATAACCCACTCTGTCTGACAGAAAAATCACTCCAAGAAATACAAGAATTATCTCGAGGTGATTTTCACACAGAAGAGAGTTTCTTTTTGTTCCCTGGTGGCGCCTCAGTTGGGATATAAATTAATTAGATTTGTGTCGGGGGTGTGGCTGAAGGGATATAGTGTGTGCCGGCACGTTTTGTTCCCGTCTCTTCTCAGCCGTCTTTTCGGCACCGAAAAAAAAATTCTCAATGCACTATTAAAAATATTTTCAGTGGACTAACGTCTTATGCAATTGTGATTTTTTGGAATATTTTATGTCAAATGATTTCAAATAATTTCATGCAATTCCAATTCAAAGAGACAGTGATTTCATCTCACACACAAAAAATGACAAAAATTGGTGGACATTGATAAAAAAATTTTCCGAAGATGATTTCCGAATTGTTTGAATGCGAATTCACTGGCATATCACGGAAACAAAGTCTTGCCCGATAATTCAGTTGATTCCGAGGCATTTTACACATGACAGGATAGCAGGTAGAGCCATGTGATGGCATGGGGCCCTTGATGTATAGGTGGGCGTTAACGGTTGTAGTAACATAGTAACTTTTATTATATTGGCGGAGAACGCATGTGACGCGCGGATACAATGAGCCCCGGGGCTTTGGGCCTCATCTCTTCCTCGCGGCAGGTCAGACTCGTGAAGGGTTAAATCATCGGAAAAGGTCGCGGTGACTTGAAGAGAAATGAAACATACAACTGATGATATTGCCGCGTTAATTTACGATCACTCGTAATTTACCTCTCAGATGAGAGATTTTTCAAATGAATATATCGAGTTTATTAATCACATATTCATTCATGATTATGTTAATTAAACTCACATTGATGGTGTTCAACGGTGATGGGGTTGCACCCCTGCGGCTTCCGCCGCCCTCGACCTCCGCCTCCAGTTTGATTAATCTCGAAAAATCCCTAAAAACCAATGCTCACGCACTTTGAACTATCGATGAAAAATATAAATTAATATATCACTGATTGAAGTTATCACTTGTGCAGCAGTCGACCTCACGCACTCTCATTTCCCTCCAAAATTGGTACCATAATAACGAGGGGAAATAAAAAATCACAATTTCCATACAACTACACAAACACGATAAGAATGAAGTAATAGTTGGAGAAAAATTGAAATAATTCGTGTGATTGGCAAGCACTGGTGGTGAATATACGTCGAACACGTGGAGGAACTATCGGAGGTGCGCCGGAGCGCCAAGAAAAAGGAGACAGGTCGGTTCCACCTTCCCTCCCACTCCAGTTCTCCTTCCACGGTCTCGTCTACCTCGCAAGGAATCGCCGATTATTTCTCCTTTTTCTCTTATTTTAAAATCCACCGTGATTTTTTTACACGTTAGACACACCATCGAGGGGAGCAAGAGGTGGCGCAGGTGATTCTCGCTAGTAGCACATGCGCATGCGCCCTAGATCGTCGTATCATTAGCGCGTGATAAAAAAAAAATAGACTGGCAATAAAATCGGCCAAATTTTTAACTGTTATTTATCTCCGGGAATAGACCGGTGAAAAGGCTCTTGAGAAAAGTGGTTGAGGTTTGAAATAAAGGGCGAGTTGCGGCCGATGCGGTGTTTCAATGAGTTGCACACTAACGTTAGCGTACTTGGCTTTTGAACGCGACTCTGGAATTGCTGTGGCGCCACCCCCTCCCCATTTTACACCCATCGCACATAACCCACCTCCTTCTCCTCTCTTCGTAGCAATATTCCTCCCCACCTCTTTTCTCCCTCATTCAAAACCTCACCCACTCGCCTCTTCATGCACCTCTCTCAGTCACTCCACCTCTTTGCCTCCTCTTCACCTCCTTTTTACCTCCTCTGCCTCCCCTGCCTCCTCTGCCTCCTCTGCCTCCTCTTATTCCGTCAATTCCTAAAGCATTTCTCTCTCCTCTTTCTCCCCTTTTTTTTCCAACCTCTTCGTCCTCACGGATTTCTCCCTATAATTTACTACCCGGTTGTCTCCTCATTCTTTTTAACTTAACCCTTTTTCTTTGTTAATTCTACTTTTTATTTTCCCCTCCTTTTCCCTCACTGCCGCTGTCTCTCTTTCATTTACCCCTTTTCACTCGTCTTCCTGGTTTTTTCTTTAGTTTCTATCTTCTCTTTCGCTGTGGATGATGTATATATATGTATAAAACGTGCGGCCAGCCATGAATCTTTGCCGTTGCGGCGAGAGAGCTCTGGCCGATGCCGTAACGCCCATTTAATAGTATCCTCGACGCACGCCTCGACCGTGCTTTTTCCATTCACTCTAGTGCCATCTGTTGAGCCTCCCATCTAACTATCTGTGGATTTCACTGCTATTATGAATCGTGCGGTTTTTCCTTTTTTTTTATTTTTATTTTTTTTTATCTCCATCAAGTCTTCACTCACTCCGATGTACCCAAAGCCCATTTTTCTCCGCATTATTGTATCTCTCACTTTGCACGAGGGCACACGAACCGTGACGAATTGCCTTGCAAGCGAAGAGAAGTAATTAGCAATAAATTTCAGCACGAGCTATGAGGAAATATTTATTTTACCTTTCGCCTCTACCTTTATCCCCTCGATACTGAACCTGTTCAAGGGCGCATCTTCATTTTCCATTGGTTTATTTATTTTTCAAATTGTTTTACGATCAATTCGCGAATGGACATGAAGTGAATTTTTCCTCGTAAAGGAAAATGATGATGTTGGAATCTCGATTCACTTCGGCACCTGCAGGTAGGCAATTCTAGAGCGAGGATATATTTTTTTTTCAATCCTCGAATGATCGTCATTGTAACCCTCCGGGCGTGGTAGGACGTATCGAGTGACAGGAAGATTCCAGGGTGAATCCGATCTCCAGGGATGATTTCGTTATTATATGAAAAGTATTCATTCTATCTAAAAATCCCATCTTCCACCCTATTTCCAATAAAGAAAATTCAAACACAATTTTTAAATGTAAAATGAAAGTACTTTAATATCGATCATCATAATAATTTACAGTGAACAGTAAATTGACTTTTACCGTTAAAATAAAAACATCATCTTATGTACAATAATTACAAAATCACAAATAGAGGCTTCTCTCCATCTCAATATTTACATTCTGTTTAGAAAATAAACTAGGCACATTGTCACAGCACCTGAATCAGTCAACGATAAACTCCAGCAACTTGAAAAGAGCAGTAGTATTTACAATTTTCCCAAATAATTCATCCTAATCGGAGCTAATCGCCATAAACAAGAAAATTTTAAACCATTGGGTACGGTACCATTGGCATATATTGCTGTGTCATAATGGGTACCTCCGATTTGACCGGTTGATTTTCCTTATCTTTCTTGGTCTTCCTCTTCTGGTTCTCATGAGTCTTGACATGTTTGGTCAAATGATCGCTCCTCATGAATCGTTTTCCGCACGTTGGACAGGCAAATCGTTTCTCCCCAGTGTGTGTTCTGAGATGTCTCTGGAGTTCATCGCTCCTGGTGAAGCGTTTTCCACAAAATATCCAATTGCAAACGAAGGGCCTCTCCCCCGTGTGCCACCGCAGATGGGCCTTCAGATGCGATGTCTTGCCATAAACTTTGCCGCATCCTGGAACATGACAAATGTGCTGACGTTTGCCATCAGCACCGACCTGATTACCCCCCTCGACTTGACAGTTTGGACAGCGGCATCTCGTGCACTTCTTTCCGGGTTTTGTCTCCTCGGGGAGCATGTGCTCAGCAGGCGGTGTCAAGGGCCATTGGTATGGGCTCGTGTGACCCTGTGGACTCGGTGGAAGCTCTGGAGGACTCGGGGGTAGATTGTAATGCTGAATTGTCGGAACTGATGTGAGTTGAGGCTGGGGTAGATGAGTTGGGGTTGTCCAGGAGGTGGTAGTTGGTGGCATCGGTGGCATCGAGTACGATGGCGGTGTGAGGGGCTCAGCAATTTGACTGTGAGTCGAATTTGAGAACCAGTAAGAGGGTTGACTGCTCTGGAGATGATGACTCGGAATCTGGGGGTTGTAGGAGTGATAATGCATCGGAGACGAACTGTAATCCATCGAGTACGACGATCCAGGCATACCGAGGGATGACATCGGCGTCATTCCCGGCATCGGTGACATCATCGTCGGCATTCCCATCTGCAAAGATAATTAAACACCTCGTTAGTTCACTCGTTAAATTTTTATTTGATCTGATCGTGGGGATCGTGTGGTTTTTATTGAATTCCCGAGATTGAGATGGGATGACGGCTTCGGCCGATAAACATGGAAATTAAATGAACTCGGATATGATTGGAAAAAAAATGACTGAAAATACTTGAAATTGAGAATAATTATTGGCGTTGGAGAAAATAACCAAAGTATCAACTGCACGGAGACCGGTCAGAAGCGTTCACGCTTCGAATGTAATATTACGGTGGATGATTACTATAATTCACAAATACAGCGCTGTTGCACCGTGATAATTCGACGTTAAATTATTGTATACAAGGTCTGTATGTGGATAACAACGAACCTGCTGATACTGCATCACTTGTGCCATCACTTCACACTTTTCTTCAATTTTGCTCTGTTCTTATTTATTTCACGTTTAAAACTTTTTTCTCCTCAATTTTTTTTTTCAATGCTCTTTTTTACGAGTAATGAGGTTTACACCCACGATGTAATCCAGAGTTGAAGGTCAAGCTCGACTCGGAAGTCCAGACATTGATTCACGATTTAGCCGAGAGTGAAAAAAAAAACAGCCGTAAAAGAAAAAAAAAACGTAATCGGTTAAATTGGAGAGCACGTTTTGGTTGTTCGGCCACGGGCGTTCGCCAGATAATTGCTGGTTGGTGAGCGTGTCGCCTCGGTTTTAATAACTGAGTGGACAACGACCGAGACGTAGAGGGAGGCTGACTACTCAGACAACCAGTCCCTGTCCTCTAAATCCATACCCAGGGGAAGGGGATAACAGTGGTGGGGATGAATCTACCACACAGCATAGGGATATACCCATTCAATTTCAGAGGGGGTAAAAATCTTTGTCCACTGCGCATGCTCAATCCCCTCCAGTACCACACAAACCACGTCTTTCCCATAAATCAACCCTGAGGGGTTTACAACGCCAAGAGTCTATCCCTCTCTTCTCCTCTTTTTCCCTTCTCGTATCTTCTTTCGTAACCCCCGATTTTCGAGGAGACAAGGATCAAGACCTTACCGTACAAACCTTTTCTGGCATATTTTCGCTTCGTCGTTAACAAATAATCTACCCCTTCGAGCTGGACATTCAATTGCACAATGCAAAATTACAAATTTTTCTGGAAAATTTCCTCTCCAATTGACACTGCCTCCGTTTGGAATACCATATGCAGTCTATCAAGACAATTTCTTCCATTTTATTTATGATTTCAATATGACAACAATGATGATGCTCCTCCAGTTAAAAAATAATTGCTCCATTAATTTTCCCAGGAGGTGTAAATTTTTTCAATCCATAAAATTCTCGGACAAATGAATTTTATAATTTTTCATTCTCACAGAAACTTGGGCATTGTTAAAAAATCATTTGACCGGTCATCCACTGATGATAACGCATTCTCGTATTCTCTCATGATCATAAATCGTCTCTGGACCAGTGGAGGATATCCTGCTGATCCTGCCACGAGACCAAGAAACGAGAAAGCTACCCTGGTGCGCTGCTACGGAGTACAGAATGGTAACATTTATGGCCCCCAGGGCTGTAAAATGATCATTGAAACATCCCTGAGAGGTGACGACACTATCGCAACTACTGGCCTCGACACAAGCTTCCAGGTCCTTTTCCACATTATTAGCCACCTGCAAGTGTTATACAATGTGAAAAAATGTGAAAGGTAGTGAAACGAAAGCACCCGCACCAAAAGTTACTGGTGGAACTTGTAGAGTCACACGCTTTTCCTCGGTTGACATCAGCTTACAATGACCAACCGGAACATTCGGTTATTCATTTTTGCGTATGGCATTTCGATACGCATCATTCTTGAATTACGTACCTCTATCGATGGCTATGATCATTGGCTTGCCAGTGAGCCATTGAAAATGTACAATTCTCGGGATCTGTAGACACAAATGTAGAAAAGAATGATACAATCTGCTTTTCGAAATTTATTGGCATTTTCGTGGAGAGGATCTTTTTTTTAAAAAAATGCTTTTTTCAATTCCGTGGAATTAACAGAAAAATATTCGTATTCACGGAAAGCGTGGATTATGTTTATCTTTTTTGGATGTCTTCAGTGTCAAAACGCCACAGTCAGTGTTTGGAGATAAAGTGAAAAAGCGTGTGGTCACTGATTACAATACCCTTGGAAAAATTATCAAATGGAAACATATGGTGGACAGAAGTCTTTCACGACAAGAAAAGAGATTCCGAGAAATTTCGCCTTATATCTAGATGCACACCAGTATTTTCCCAGCATAATGAATGCAAAAAAGTGTCACAACCAAGTGTTTTTCATTTTTATGGCGATTTCCGGTAAGATATATACCATTCGGTGTGAACCATCGATCATTCCACAAACTCACCAGCAACACCCACAATTTTGTCTCCTGGGATGGTTAAACCTCGCCTTGTTTGTCCAATTCATTGAGCAAACACGTTTCCAACCGGAGTGAACAAGAAAAATCCCACCCGTACACGCTCCCCAATACACGTGTCATTTTTCCTCGCGCTTCAATCATTTATTCTATCTTCTACCAGTTGTAAATCTTACGAGATGAGTGTTACCGGGAATATGAAAAGCCCTGGCACGCCCCGAAGAGTCAGACTCTGTGCAACCCCTTCATTCTTTTCTTTTCAATTTGCATCCGTGTCCTCTGGTTGTATTGAGGAAATAATAAGCCGCTTAGTAGACGCTGTTGGGGCAAATTGACGATTTCGTAAACAGCACACCCACGTGAATATTACAAATTTCAAATCGATTTATTTTCAATCAACCAATGAGAACTGCAATCGTAAAAATGCACGTCTCGAAAAAAAAAAATTTTTTCTCAGGGCAGTGAGACTGCAAACTAATGATGGAAAAAATGCTTCCATCGCAAAATTCCTAATCCCCCAAATTGTAGAGGAGATAAGATTTTTGTAGCATCTTTAGCCTCGGAGTTTCCCCCCATTAATTAGGAGACTAATTTCTTGAGTGAGTTGGGGGATTCGAAATAGGCTGGAAAGGAGTCGGCATTTTTTTCAAGCATCCCTCAATATTCTTATCCACCACGAAGATCTCCGAGGTGTGCTACCTTTTTGAGCATAGAGGTTGAGCCATTTGGTCACAAGGCGGAAAAACAAAAGAGGTATAAGGTGGAGAAACAAATGATGCCGATTGAGGAAGGCCCTTGGTGACCGGGTGGACTTTTTCACTTCTGCATTCAGACCATCGGGTGTGACCAATTGGTGAGTGAGGTTCATCCACGGGAGATCGTGTAGAGTATGCTGTAGAGATTTCCTTGGAGTTCCTTGAACACGCGTTTTTTTCCGTAGACATTCGGGTGCGATGGACCGGGGAAAATTGGAGGCAGGTTTAGGGTCTAAACTTTTTGATACTCTCTATAACAACGGTGGGGTAGATCGACCTGTTGGAAATTAATGTCCTCTGGATCTGACGTTCAATCTCAGGTGCATTTCCACAATTCTGGGAAGGGCGATGGTGCCCGCTGGATTATCCAGAATTTTATTTAGGGTGATCCGGAGAACTCGGAAAAAATCCCTTTTACCACATTTCGTTTCGGTTATTACAATGGTACAGGGTGAGATCGGCATTCACCTCGAAAATTTTATGGGCGCGAAAAATAAAGGATAATCAATTTATATTGTAATTAAATTTTCCTCGTTTCTCGTGAAATGTATTAATGAAGGAATATATGGTGTAATTTTTACTCGAATTATTTTTCTGGTTCGGCGAGCCCTTTGTGGGTTGACTTACAAACATAAATATGATTTTCTAGTTCAAAAAAGTCATTTCCATAAACCTATAGCGACCGAACAACTCGTAACTCAGCGGGTTTTATAGTTTGTTGGAAATTATGAGAAATATCGTAAACCATGAGAAGGTCCTCCACTTTATGTGTGTTTTTGGGCTTCATATACTCAGATCAATGTGTATATCTTCCCTGAAATGTACCACCTGCTCCCGAATATTTGACATTTACGAACAGATTAAAACAACAGAAAAAAAAAATTAATTTATTCATTTTCGCCAGCGACATGAAGGAGAAATACTGCGAGCAAAAAAAAAATGTTACGCGTAGTTGATTGAGGTAAGGGGTATACCATGTATTATATAGGTATATCCCTGCCCTGAAGATGATGTTAGAATAAAAAGCCCCGAGGAGGAAGCTAACAGATCAAGAGCAAGTAACCTGACAATAGTCCCCGAACAATAGACACAAGTTTTCTTGAGAGCTAATGGACCGTATCCTCGCAGTTTTCACACGCTCTCATGTAATACGCAACAGAGAGTCTTCCCCCGAAAAAAAAAATCTGAAGAAAGGAAGAAGAGAATGCGTAAACGAAGGAGGGTATTAGGGCGTTTATTCGAGCCGATTAGACGCGAAGAAAAGAAGATTATCCATGTGCCTCCAACCAGAAGGTGTGGTGGGGACGATTATTTGAGTATCTCGAATCTCATATTTTCGCAAGTGCAACGATAATCGGTTTAACATTATCGCGATGTAAACAAGGAATTACGTGATCGGAATAGAGAGGATTGATCATAATTATCGTGATAATTTATTGCTCGCATTTGAGTAATTAATCGTCGAATATTGCGGGAGTGAATAAAAATAATGGAGAAAAATAAATTGAATAGCTGGAGTGGATTTCTCTTTTGTATTTAATTGATGGTTCTGGGTTTTGGTTTTGTTTTGAATTTAACGACTCATCTGCACTGTGAAAAACACGAAAATCGAGGGTTTTTTGTGAGAAAACAAGACACATCCTCGATCATCGACGATAGCAATCGATCACGATGACCAGACCATCTTTCTACATCCTCGCACCATTTGTAGGCAAATGATTTCCTTTGGGCTTGGGTATATGCCTTAAACAAACCAAATGCCGACCAGACGAACGGAACGAGCCACGAAATTCATTAATCACTGACTCCCTGAAACCCAGGGAAAAAACAAGATGGAGGGAGGGGGAGATGAGAAAAAAAAAGGAAACGATGTAGCCCCTACTGTCTTATTGGGTTGTACTGCACATTTAATGTTGAATCAGTGGGGCACGTGTGGCTGAAGTTTCTCCTTTGGATGGTTGAGACTTCATTTATTACCCATCGTTTCTTGAACAATAGACGAACCATCAACCGTTGCAATCACGAGAGAATGGGCCAAATCGATGACTTGATGCTGGATAAAAGTTATTTTTGGTACCCGTGAAATTGATTCATTATAAAACATCAATCATCGCTTGCTTACTCTCCGAGTTTATTTTGGGTAGAAATTTAATGGAAAATCAGAGGTCTAATGATGTTGAATATAATTATACCCACGATCTGCAGTTACTAATTGAAATCTATAATTAACCAAAATTATTTTATTTTATTTAATCACTCGATAATATATGTTCAATATTCGAAAAATATTTGATTTTATTTTATTATTCTGAAGATAGAGAAGACACAGAGTGAAATTTATATAAAAATTTATGCCGCGTTGCATTTACACGAGTCGTAAATAAAAATATCTTGAATTGAAGGAATTTTTTTTGTTATCGAATAGAAAAAAAATATATTTATTGATACATCGAAAAACCCCAAAAGCAATAAATTTGCGTGTTGTACACTCTGACCATAAAAAAAACCGAGAAGTCATCTTTAGGGCCAGACGGACAAGTCCCAAAAAAGAAACCAACATCCCAAACGTATAGAGAAAAGGCCTCACGTCACAGTGCGACCTGTTGCGCTGGGGGCGAAATAAAAAAAAAAAAAGAGATTGTGGAAAGGAAAAAAAAAACCAACGGGGGTGCACCGTGGTAGCCGTGAGAATCTCAGAATCAAAGTGCCGCCGGCTTTATTGTGACGTGGCTCCATTACGCAACCTGACTTTTGTGTATTTAAAGAATTTTCATTCTTGCAAGGATACAGAACACTCATGATGTTGCGGAGCATTCAATCGGACTCATTCCTTCATTTTTTCGGGGTAACCAGTCATTGTTAAATGACCAGTCCATTCAGTATGCAATTTTTAGGGAATTGAGTTAACAGAGCGGAAAAGGAAACTGATGTTCGCCTTTTGACACTGCAAAGTGGCAACCGAACATTTTCATTTGAGTTCAGAGAAATTTTTGGAGGGTTCCTCATATTTTTATTATTCTCGAAGATCATTATCTCTCCTGCGCATTCAAAAATTCTTTTCTCACCGCACTTTCCGTAATAATTGACAAAACGTTAAAAACGTAAAATTGCAATATATCTTCTCGGTTATTTTCACGAATTTTTATGACACTGGCGTGCTTGCGGCAGTTTACAATGTTTCGTGGAAAGGTTAATCCAGATTATCACCATATATCGCAAAGGCTCAGTACTAAATATTGTGACGCTATATATAACTCGATAGATGACAGTTTCAAGACATACACAATAATGAAAACCATAAAGTGGAGTTCAGGTATAGAGTAATTACCGTGGTGATATTCATAGACAAAAATGGTCACTTAATCCAAGTTAATCCTTGAATGACTACACACAGCATTCAAGCCCATATAAGAACAAAGTGGTATAGAGGGTGAAGTTGTGTGAAACTCACTGTTTTGTGACCCCCATGTCCTGGGACAAGTATAATTGGATTTCTTTTGGCCAACTAGGTGCATATTCCTGATTGTTTGACTTCGTGGTGGTGGTTATATTTCTTTGTTGCGTTTTCCCGTTACAGTTCTCGGTATGGACAAATCCTAAGCGGATTATGTGACCTCAGGTATGTACCGTTATTGACAAATCAATGTATCACCCTCAACTTTCTGTTTATATCGCTACAATTGTTTTGCTACTGCCGGGTTAGTTTTTGAGGGATTAACTCTGGGTAATGCTCCATTTGGTTTTCTCGAGAAATTTATATTGCGGGTTAATATTTTACAACGGAGAAATGACTTTTCTATTATTTTCTGGGAAATGAATAATGGACTCGTCCCTGTGGTATTTCCACATTGCAATCGATTCTATTTGAATATTTATTCAATCCATTTATTTATTTAAATATTGTTGTGGTTCTGGTGAACAGCGGAACCATTAATAAAGATCATTGGAAAATCCTTCTTTGGATTATGTCAACACAGAGGTCCAGAAAAAGGTGGATGTTTTTCAAGTGGTGACTCTATCTGTTCACAAGGGAAAGACTTACCCTCTCTCTCTCTCTCAGTTCTTCAGGGAATACACTCGATTGACTAACGGATTAAAAACCAGGCAATGCGGCTGAGAGAAATTATTCAGACGGAAGAATCACCCCAAAATCCTGAGAATATGAAAAAGGGAATGAACCCGGGGCTGACTTCTTAATCCCCTATCCAGGAAGACGACGACGCTGTATTGGAAAAGTACCGTGTCAAAAGCGATTGGACCCTACCTTTATTTCAGAAGTCAGTGTCTTCTGTTATTTTTAGTAGACGGAATGCACCTTAGAGACCGTTAACGCCTTAAGCCTTCAGCAAATTATTCAAATTTTTGAAAAACTGTAGTGTCTGTCAGTTTTCATAAAAATCCACCATTGAACACTCTAAAAATGAATTTTTAGAGTCTCCTGATGTCACAGCCAAGAAAATAATTTTCTCCGTGTATTCAAGCATTTTTTAACTCTCCCCAAAATATCGATAAAGCATTGAGTATCACAGTTGGGGGTTTCATTGGCCGCCGAGTTTAATTACCACCTTTTTGCCTTTTGTTTTAATTGAGGCGGCTTGTGCTTTTGTTGTAGGGGTGGCACTTGCCGATACCAATGGGTTTTGATGGAGGAGCATGAGAGAGAGAGAGAAAAAAAATAGTGAGGTCGTGGCTCGGTTTGCCTCGAAGATATCCAAGATATGATTTGTGTGTCAGGCTCCAAGAATCGAGCGTGTGGGTAAAGGACTTCTAAAAAAGGGAGATGAAAATATCGACCACGCGAGGAGGACTGGCATTCGGGACTGATCAAACAGTACCTGTCCCACGTCAACCAACACGGTGGTGAAATTAAAATGGATAATTGCTTCCTCAAGATATCCCACGTTGTTCCAGGTAGGATCGTAAAGTCGTTTGATATAAAACTAACGAATCTGCTGTATGCTCGTCATTTTACTTTCATCATGCACTTTTTTTTTTATTGAAAAAAATGATGAATTGAGAAAAAAAATTTTTAAAAACCGCGTCTTCACTTGTATTATCAAGGCATACTCGAAAATATAAAAATTTAATCCTAATAATGGTTTAATGATGATTGGAAATTAATTTTAAATGCTGCACGGTTTGGTTGACAAATTTTTTGACGGAATTATGGTTTTTTGACGATTCGCGCGGTTCGAACATCGATGGAAGATGAAAAAAAATCACGGAATATTTCTCGGAAGAGCAGAATCACGGGAGGTGTGCAGTCCTGTGGCGTATTGTGTGGTTTTATCTTTCAACGGCCTCGTTTGTTCAACTTGACTCCAGCAGCGCGGGTCGGTCCTGTGTCAAACGGACACCGAATTTCCTTGACCCAACAAGTGTCCAAGTGATCATCATCATCACCATTTTTTGCGCCTCCATTCTACCCCCCTCCCCTCTACCCATCCCCATCTAGTCCCCCACAGACTCGTTTCACGATTTATAAATTTTCTATTCTCTGCGGAAAGGAAATTCCTAATCGTTTGATTTAATAATATCCAAGGCTCAAAGCCCCGTATTTTACACCTGACTTTTAATGCCTTCCAAGATTTATTGAATTATCCACAGTGAAGGGTCATCCAGGGGGGGTGAGAATTATGGAAAAAAAACTCGGGATCTCTCAGATGAAAATGATATTTATGTCATGATTTTCCGTGTAGAGGCGGTTGGGTCAAAGCCCCAGAATTTCCACTATATTATAGCAGTGATATTTTTTTTGGGTTTGAATCTCCGAAATCTTATAAACGGCCCCCCTACATCGTGAAGGATCCATGGCGAATTGAGATCACCCGGAAAAATATTCTCTCTAAATCATAAATGTAATTTAATCAGTCCTCCAAACTCACAGAAGATGAGGGGAATTAATTTACCATGTATCATCATTTCAACAAGAAATCATCATTGAGAGGTACAATATTTTTTTTTGCTCTCGACAAAAACCGGAAACCCACAGAAATCTATCGCTCACGAGTTCACGGATTGACATCGGCATCGTCAAAGTTCGGAACCCCGTGGCGAAACGTTAAAAATGCCGACGGGGCTCTATATATGGGTCCTAGCAGTCTGAAAAAGCTGTTCAGAGAAAAATCTTCTGTATGTTACCCATGTGTTGGAAATGTTGTAATGAGTTTTTCACTGGGGACAAATACAGTGCCGACAATATTTGTGTAGTGGGAAAATAAATGTATTGGCTCATTCGATGTTTGTCATTTCTCCGAATGGACATAAATCACTCCACCATTTTTCTGGTTCAAAAAAAATTAAATTGTTGTATCAAAAAAAAAATTCAAGTGGTGCGATGAGAATGATGCGTTGGTTCTAAAATTAATATGAATTTTTGCGTTGAAAATTCTTGACACTTGTTGATCTCTCTATTGTGAAAATTTTCATTTTCTAAATTCATCTGTTCCTTGCACTCTAGATTTTTTTCCCTTTTTTAAATTCTAAAGAAAAAAGAACTGTGCAAGTCACACCGGTGAAAAGAAATTGAGAGAAATGACAGACATTGAAATGGCTAGTGCTGGTGCGTGTCAAAGATCGGAGAGATGTCGAAATCCACAAAATAAACATGGCGAAAATTGGATTTTGTTGTAAATTACGACTAATCTGCCGATTACAAGCGGAGATCTCTTTCAGAATTTTACCTCGAGGACTTCTAAGGCCATAAATGACATTGTTCAAGACACCCGGTTGGTGACCCCGTCGTGGCAGTTGAATGAGAGGATTAAATAGTGTTCAATTTTCAATAGAGAGAGGTGAGTACAAGTGTACCTAAATTTTGGTGGTTTTACCAGGCAAAGGTTCAAGGGGTTGGAGACGCCCAGCATCCCCATCGCAATGTTACGGCTAAAATCTTTTCGTGCAACATTGTCTTCAACAGATGCTAATAATTGGCTTTTACACGGAGATTATCTCATGTATGATTGTTTTATTGCGGGGCATAATCCCCGTGTAATGCTTTTATTGAAAATTCTAACGAATATTGAATGTTCAATATTCTTCGGAGGTGAAGGCAAGATGAGACACCTCTTTTTGTAGGCGAATGGAAGCCTTGTATTTGACCGATTTTTCGACTCTTTAATTTTGATTCTGTTATACAATTCTTATGTTATACAATTCTTCAAGTTGTCAAGATATAGTAGACCCTTCAAATTCTACCATAAAAGTCAGCATGGTCATGTCCTCTGACGTCACTTCCGCGTATTAATACTCGGAAAATTCGAAACGTCAGCAAAGTGCTCCAATGCGAAGTGGAACACTTTGTGCGTGGGGCGCCCTCTCTCTCTGGGGTGAGATACTGCGATACCGGTGGGGTCACTCAAACCCCCAGAACTGAACCTCTGCTTTAGTCAATCCTCTCATCGGGAGTTTATGGCAGTCGACGTATCTTCGGGTGCCGAATGTTGATTTCAATTTAGTGTGGATTAATTAATGTATACAAGATGCCGAATTTCTGTGATATCTTCCACCTCAAATATGTCATTGTCGCTCTTATCATGGTATGTTCTCTCAAAAATTTATTAGCAGTACGTTTTTCATACAATTGAATGAATAGATGCAGTTCAAGCTGTCATACTGGTTTTGTGACACGTTTACAAAAATGTGGAACCACTCTCACCTTTTCCAAATGTTTTTGGGCTTCTAAATATTTGAAGAATTTTCTTTAAGACTATTTATTTACCGTTTCCAGCTTTTTTATTTAAACATAACCTTATCTTCATTTGATTTATCTAACCTATAAAAATTTTTATAATAAATTTTTCGCCGATCAATATTCAATTGACCTCCACTACTTTTTTTCTAATTTTCTACTATTTTCCAATTTCGATTATTAATTTATCAAGATGAAGTACTCAGATTGATGCAGCAGCTAATTGGGAACTGTATTTGTTCAGTTGGCCTGGCTGTTTTGAGAAGCTTACTGATAAGGTTAATCGCTTCCTCCTTCTCGCACTATCATCACGAACCTGTTATGTTTCAGGTATCCACGGCACGAATTTATGTGAATGCCGGGGCAACACAGCTCACCAAGGATAATATTGATATGACACTAGGTATAAAATATTTGACAATTGGAATGACAATGGAAATGAAAATAATGATGTTTTTTTCCGCTTTTCAGCATCAAATGAATTAGTATTTATAAACTTTTATGCTGAATGGTGTCACTTTAGTAATATGTTAGCACCAGTATTTGATGAAGCCGCGGATAAAATTAAAGAGGCCTTCCCCGAGGCTAACAGAGTGGTCATAGGAAAGGTAGACTGCGATGCTGAGTGTAAGTATTTTGCGATGCACTCTGTATTGATTGGAGATGGAAAATTTATTTTATTTACTTCCCAAGAATTATTTTTAATAATGAATTTTGAACAGCTTCCGTGGCATCTAGATTTCACATTTCGAAGTATCCGACTTTGAAAATCATAAGGAATGGAGTGCCAGTTAAGCGAGAATATCGTGGCCAAAGATCATCTGAGGCATTCGTGAAATTCATCACGAAACAGTTAGAAGATCCAATCAAAGAGTTCTATGACCTCAAGCACCTACTTAATCTAGATGACAAGAAGAGAATGATCATTGGGTATTTCGATAAAAAAGAAGTTCCTGAGTATCAGACATTTCGCAGGGTGGCAATGAATCTGAAGGATGACTGTCAATTTCATGTCGGTTTTGGGTAAGATTAGAATTGAATTTTTATTAAATCTTTCCGTGTGGCGGGTTCGATATAATTAAACCATAAAAATCAATGAATATTATTTAACAAGCACTTGCTCTGATCAAGGCTGTGAGGTTGGAGAATTTATTAAACTGTTGTAAGTAATGAACAATTATGAGAATTCACCGTGTGATACCTAATATTCAGTTTCCCCTCCCTTAGTAGATTAGGAAAAAATAAGATATGTGTTAATTTCTGGACTTCCTTATTCGTAACTTGTATTTTTTTTGAGAAGAGTAATATAAAATCCATTGAATAGTGATAGTAGCCAGGCGATGCACCCCCCAGGGCAACCAATCATCGTCTTCAGGCCTGACAAGGCCCTGTCTAACGATGAAGATGAGACTTACAAAGGAAGTTTAATGAATTACGATGAATTGAACATTTGGATTCAAGAAAAATGTGTTCCTCTTGTGAGGGAAATTACCTTTGAAAATGCTGAAGAGTTGACCGAGGAAGGCTTGCCCTTCCTCATCCTTTTCCACCAACCTGATGACATTGCCAGTGTCAAGGATTTCAAAGACATTGTTGCAACCACATTAACTGACGAGAAACGTAAGTGCGGGCGGTTGATAATCCATATCTGTTACAGGATGTGTCTACAGCAAGTGGGGAATTCATTCAAATTTATTTCAATATTCTTCCAGAGAACTTTAATTTCCTGACAGCAGACGGCTTGAAGTTCGCGCACCCCCTCCACCATCTGGGCAAAAGTCCATCAGACTTACCGCTGATTGCAATCGACAGTTTCCGTCATATGTATCTGTTCCCCAACTTCCAAGACATTTTCACTCCTGGAAAATTGAAGCAGTTCTTAAAGGATCTTTATTCGGGTAAACTTCATCGTGAGTTCCACTACGGTCCAGATGCGAACAGCGAATCACCACAAATCGATGGCCAAGTAAAGACTCCGACGGCACCACCAGAATCGTCATTCAAAAAACTTGCACCTAGTAAAAACCGTTACACCTTGCTCAAGGATGAACTATAAAACGTGTTATCTGACAAGAAAATCATGAATGATGGACAAATTTGGGACTTATTGTGGTACGTCAATCAGACGTAATTTTTAAACCAGTGCAAATGAGGGTTTTTTTTTTCGTCTTGAAAAGAGAACCTACGAACTTCCAGATCAATTATTTTGTGAATATAGTTGGTTGAGAAAAGCGCAATGAAAATTAATGGATGAAATAAAAATAGAAAAGGTAGAGCCTTGGCTAATGGTAAAAATGAAACACAATTGTGAATTTAAGAACATTTTTACATTACAATTTTGTAGTGAAGTGGCTGTAGTGAATTGGAAATATTTATAGCAATTCAAACTCGAATTGTTTTGCTATATTTGTCACTTCGGTGCTGAATTCTATGTAGCCTTGAATTTTTATTGATATTTTGTATACTTTCTTTTTCTGATTTGCATATGATAAAAATGTATAAATCGATTAATATAAAGATATAATTTTACATTTGTAAAGATAGAATTTGTGGGACGAGTGGATGTCAATTCACAACTCATTATTGTATTCTCTTATTTTGTAAGCAACGAAACCAGATAAATTTACACCAGAGATATTCCTACTGTCACCAAATTACAGTAATTTCCTTGATCTATTATGAAAACCAAGCAGACAATGTAAATCATACATGAGAAGTTTTTTTTTTGAAAGCAAACAATCGAAATAAAACTAATCCGTCGAAATTCTTTTCAATTCAATTATCCCCCTATTTCCAATTATTTCAGGAGTTTGGTATCACGGCCATTTTGTCGGCCGCCTTTCTGAAATTAAAAATGGCTGTACCTAGGTTAATTCGATTAATTGACGGTCCCCCATCCAGTGCAATTTATCGATGATTTATTCATCGTGGACTTAGGGAAGAAAAAACAACAATGACTGAATGTTGTGTCCATTATAAAATGGCTGTATTTTAAACGTAACTCCATTACATGTAATACATTCCACCAATGACACACCATCTCTGTTTTCTATTGTGTTAATATTTGACTTTGTCAATATCCCTTTATCATTTTTTTTTCGTCTAATCTCAGGATACATGACATTACACATAACATGACTTACATACATGTAACATCACACATACAACACTCTCGTCTCAGCTCTCATCTCTTATTAATATTTTTCATTGCTACGTCTACCATTACGGAACATGAATGAAGCAGACCTCTTACGATATTCTTGAATCGTAAAAAATAGTTGTGGTCTTAGAATTTTATTAATACATAGGTGCGCGGTTCCCTTCAAAAATTTAATAGGTAGGGTAGTTCTGTGGTAGTCAATTAATCAAGAAAAAAATGTCTTGTTAAAAAAAAAAGAGAATAATTTGAATTGCAAACTCTTACCTTTTATTTCAAGTCATACAAGTTCCTGTTTATTGGCAAACTTTGAGTAACTTTTATTTGCAATAATTATGCAAGATAATGAATACCTACAGATGTAGAATACTGAAGTGATTCAATAGAAAAACATCAAATTGGATTATCGACGTCCTTTGCAAATATTGAGGAAACAAGGGGATCAACGAAAGAATACCGAGCGGATTTTTTCAACAAAAATTTGAAAGATAAGATTTTTTGATATTCTTTCATGTACCCTCAAATTTCAATGATGTTTGCAAAATAATCAGCTGGCAATTTGAGAACTTCCTTCACTTCTTGATTACAAGATTTTATCGTTTCGCTGCCTACAACAATACATTGTATTGCACATTACACTGAGAGAGCATCTTAACAACTTGTTACGTATTTATGAATGATTCCTCTTGTTCCCAATAATTGCATTAAAAAATTAATGTGCATCGATAAAAAAAAATCATCAATTTGTGCATCAATAATTCGTCAAAATTTGTGGGATTCATCAAGAGAAAAAACAGCAGGTTAATCTCGACGAGCAGTATCTTCTGTAAGAGTTATCATAGCAGAGTGAGTAGATTAAGTGCACCGTCACCGGCCCAATTATTAACTACGTCCAAATAAATGAACACTTGTAAAAGTCTACAGTGAAAATATTTTCGAATACCCGAGGCTGCTGTTTCACAGTCCAGCCGCAATGATTTGCATAGCACATTGAGACTATACGAAAAAAATGCCTCCTGATATATTTTCAGTTCATTTAATCGCCAAAATAAAGAATTTTAATATTTTTATTTAGAAAAATAACTCCATAAATCGTTAGAACGATGAATTATCGTAGTTTTTTGTCTGTTTCAATTTTTTACTCTTTCACATTTGAAAAAAACAAAATAAATCAATAACATTGCGATATTTTTTTCTCGCAGTTACCTTTCTTTGCACTTATCAGTAATTTTATGTCATATACATATATTTTTTCATATATTTAAACATATGTTTATTCAGGATATCACTAGCGTTTATTTATTACCACGAACCACCAATGGAGCTTTCACTTGTCTTCCTTGTACTCAATCTCATTTTGTATTCCTATTCTCTCGATAAATTAATGAAAGACATTTTTTTTATTATATTAATTTTCCAACAATCCTATATCGTGACCAGATATATCCATATACCTCTACTGCTGTTTAGGCCATTCCCATAATTCGAGAAATGTTAAATAATAGTTGTAAAACGTAATGGTACATTAAATTAAAGGAGAGTCTGTTAGTAAAATGTCCTCTATCAATTATTTGATAATCAGTGTGTATTGTATGCGCTGATTGCCAATGATTTTTTTTTTTCTTTACTTTCTCCTGCTCATCAATTTTAACAGCTTGTCAATTTTCTTCGTAATATTAGACAATATTCAACGCAATATGAATCTGTTAAATGAACGATGATATCGATCTTATGGACTTATCCGATTTAAACTCTAAGTAACAAATCGAAACAGTCGTAGGCTTTTTTGACGGAGTCACCTACATTAATGGCTACATTTCGGTTCAAGTAAAACGTTCAACATCTAACCATTATATTTTTTCTTTATCTTGTAGCCCTATTTTTGACACGATTTTATTTCGATTAAATATAACTTTCAGGATCTCACTCTCGCAAAACTCACATTTTTTTAAAGCCTAAAAAATGATAAATTCATAGGTGTATAATTCAGTGCAAAAATCTTCTGCATTCTTTTTTTTTTATGTAATTCAACATTCAGCAATTTAGCGCGAGGTACGATCCATAGATTCCTTTTTGCGATAACATTACATTTATTAACAGTAATGATACCATCTAATGTTTTTTTTTCAAGTTAATTCAGTTACTTTTCATATCTATCGTATATATTCATAATTCATGTATAATGCATGCCATTTGATTATTTCTCGTACAATTTTTTTTCAACGTATTTGATACCAACTAGATTTTTCTTTCTCATTTATCAGTTGAATAATATAATAATTTTCGGTTGTCTGTCATAGTGAAGTATTTAAAAGAGCCATGAGCATTTTCATACAATATATATCCTGTGGGGGATCAATAAATTTTGGTTAATCAATGAATAAATTACTTAAATCTCGCGTCATGATGGGATACAGGTCTAGTCCTCTAAAATTAATAAAAAGCTCTACGAAATTTCATTTTGTATTGGGTAATTAGCCGTTAATTGTTGAAAAAAACCACGATTTTTCCCAACCCTTAATTTTTCAAGTGACAATGTTGAGAATAATTAATAAATATTAAGTAATTGAAGGAAGACCTTAATTAGACATAATATTAGAATAAATGGTAGGGGATATATGATCTAATCACAATGACATTGTTGGTGATCATAATTGGGACGACCTGTCATCTGGACTCATAGCCATACATATAACAATATCAATTATTCTTGTTGTAGATAATAGTGAATGATATATTTTCGTTAATTATGATGAATAATAGATTGGCGTGCACGGAATCGTCTTAAAGCTATAAAAATATGTATTTTTATTAGACCGTGATGAAAATATATTTTTGAAAAAATGGAAGTTTTGAATTAATGAGGCGGGAGAGGTGGAAGGAGTGCCAAATCCGATATTCAGGTTATACAGAGTTAAACTGTCAATTACTATAAATAATTACATTGATTCATAAAACACTGGATAGTCACGACGGCCGGATTTTTCATTTATAAATATATCGTAATTATGTTTTACAATTCTTTCCATGTCATTATATTTTGATAAATAATTTAAACGGTGAACACGCAGACATAATATCAATGAATAAATTAATTCGATAGAATATTCATAGATTGAATGGTGAAACGTGTTCAATAATTAATACTTACCGTAATCTCATTAAAAATCATGTTATTGTTGTTTTTATAAATTTCGTGCAAAAAATACATTGATAGCCATATTAAACCGTAAACTCTTCACAATATGTCTGACAAAAAACAGTGAACACTTTCTGGGCCTCTTTACTGGCCAATTGGGCAATAAATAACACGTCAAGCAAAAATATTCACTTAGGCATATCGAATTATCAAAATAAATACAAAAAATCGACTGATGAAATTCATTCAAATCATATCTCCTCCGCTACTCCTATTTTTTCAACCATTTTTATTTTTTGGATGGAAACGATAAACTTAGGCCGTCCAGGCATAAACCCGTTCGGATAGATGTAATTTTTGTTTAAATCTGTCATATATTGTCATTGGGACGTTATGAATTACTATTTGAGTTGGCTCATCGCGATTATCTCCCCCTAGTCTCCACAATCTCTGATTGATCTCATTGAACTCTTGAGAAAAAATACATCCCTTTCTCCATTTTTATATTCCAGAAATGTCTTTTGAGGTACATCATATTTTCCATTTATATTGTTTCGTCAATATGTCGTTTCAATTGAACCTTATACTATTCTTCAAATATGTTACCCGCTCATTGAACATCATTGAACATCATTAATCTAACGTATAAACCCCGAAGAGATAACCGGAAACGTCGATGGTAGCATTTCAATAATTTAACATTTCATAACCGCTGTGCTACCTTCGGTATCTCTCAGTGATCTTGATTCTCATACAATGATGATGTAAAATATTAATATGATACCAATTCAATTTGTAAATATATCTATTATATATTTCTCTTAATCAATCATCAGAGTGAACGGAACATTATTGTCTATCTCTGTTGAATCATCGACGTTACCGATGACGACAACGGTATTTTTCCATCATTCCATATGTACGTTTCATCGAAATAGTATATACTATTTAATCCGTTGAAGCATGTTCTGTTTGCTGGTTCCATTCGTGATCGTTTTTTCCGTCTTCATGATTTTTTGACTTGGCGCACACTCGGCGTATTTATTTTCGCCCATCAAAATATTTTAACATTAATATTTTCTCATTACTCACGCTGCGATTCACATATTAAATCAAACTGCTTACTACTGTATGCCATTATTATTTTTCCACCACTTCTCGCAGTTAATTATTTTATTTCAGTGTCTGAGTTCATGAATAATCGGGTTAATTGAATGCGCGATGTAATGGTGGGTAGAATCATCAGTGTGAGGGATTGAAAATAATAAATTTTCTTGCGCAAGAATATTCCGAGTGGGAAATGAATTGTTTGAATGCTGAATCCTCGGAAAATCATTTCTCAGGATTTGAGAATGTCTCATCTCGTTCTTAAATCATTCGAGTCATCCGATTTGGCCACCCCTCAGGGTGTAATGTATATTCATTGAAAGAAAACAATTGCAATTGTGCAGATTCTTAATATTAGATATCAGCGAAATTTGTAACGTTCTCAAAAGATAGAATATGCGCCACCAATATTTATTCTTGTATAAAAATTATTATTACGTTATCTGAATATCTCAAATCCCGAGAAGTGCCTTTATCAATTCGGCAAAATTGTTATATGTATACCAATGAAAATTATCAATTCATAATTCTGTCAATTGAGTAATCGTTATCAAACACTCTTTTTCAACGATTTTTAATCTCCGATGTCATTCACGTAAGTACATGCTAACCGAAGCTCAGTTGATTGTTTCAGGGGCAACCTTGTTCTTAAATTTAATGAACTATCTTAAAATATAATTGAATTTCCTCTTATTTTTCATTTTAAAAAATAAGTAGAGACAGTGTCCATATATTATTTTATGTTTGTCTGGTGAGACTGCTGAATTATAAATGTATAGTTCAACGTAGCATAGCGTGAAGTTTGTTAATTTGTTGATTCTCGTACGGAATTTGTGTAATTTTGCAGATTTCATGATTTAGTCAAACAGATATTGGAGAAACGTTCTCAGTGGATGTCGAAGTAATCCTATCTGCTCTGCGTATTTATACATCTTGATTAAATAATTCCAGTGAATCCCTAACGCGAAGAGACGACGATTCATTACGTCGAAAATTACGTCGAAAACTAGTCACGTTTCTGAGAAATGGCGGATTGCCGAGATATTCGGCTTGTGGTAGAGATACACCCGGTTATGATAGCTTCATATTTTTTTTTTCGGGGCTTGTGAGTTTATTGTTCTCAAAGCACACCAGGAGTAATATAATTCTTTTAGTTCAGTATTGCTTATCGTCGTTTACTCAAGTTGCGATTGTTTTTCTGGCGTACGAACTAATTCTTAGCCGTCAGGATTGTCACGAATTCTGAATTAAACGGAGGGAAAAATATGAAAAATTCTCCATTTTCACAGATCAACCAATTAATCTAGTCATTTATTGAAATCTTACCTTCGTAATTGACCATTCCATCTCCATCGAGGTCAGCTTCCTTGATCATATCATCAACCTCCTCCTCCGATAATTTCTCACCAAGATTCGTCATCACATGTCGCAGTTCCATTGAAGAAATCAATCCGTCATTGTTCTTATCGAAGACTCTGTCGATTAATTGCAGAAGAAAGTGAAAATGAAAAGATGTCAGACTTGAAATTTAAATAGTTACCTGAAAGCTTCCCGGAGTTCATCTTCACCATCCGCTCCCTTCATTTTCTTCGACATCATCTGAAGAAACTCATTGAACTCGATGGTGCCGTTCCCATCTTGATCGACTTCATTAACCATATCTCGAAGTTCCGTTTCTGAATCATTCAAAATTATTTCATATTCCAATTAAATGATCCCCTTGAAAAATCCCTTTCAACGTCGATTTTTTTTCTACCGACATTGTATTATTTAACTCTGAAGCATTGCATAATTATACCCGAGGCCAGATTAAGAACATCGTCAAGTGGAAATGAAAGTCAGAACTAAATACAGAATATAAGATTTTCTTATTCGCTTTGGCTTGGAGCAAACGGTACGGAGAGAAGTCATCAACAGAATGGAGAGCCATAATTTCCTCAAGTGCTACATACAGCCACACCCTCAACCCGCGACTACTAAAAAGGAACCCTTCATCTTTCACAGTATAAGTAATTTTTCCATTCACCCTCGAGTGTCCTCAACTCCTTGCACTCCCGAAAGCACAAAAAAAAATCATTAAAATTGAGAGGAATTCCCATTTTTACCTGACGGTCTCTGACCGAGAGATCGCATGACAACTCCGAGCTCAGCCATTGTGATCGTACCATCCTCATCCTTGTCAAATAGCATGAATGCCTCCTTAAATTCTGCAATAAAAAAATTAAAATATTCCTTACGATTGAACATTGAATGGTTATTTAAAAAAAATTGTAAAATATCGAGTGGAAAGATTGATACGGCGTAAAATCATAATTCGTAAATAATCACGTCATCGAAATTTTCGAGAGACGGGTGGGTGGAGTGTGGATTTCATAAATTCTCACGTATGGCTGAATCATAAATAAAATGAGTTGGAAACGAGTAAAAAGAACAGGCGACTGTTTGGCGACGATGTACACGAGTGTCCCAAGTAGCTCTCAACAATTTTGTCTGGCACGAAGAGTAGTTTTCCCGAACAAGGAGAAATGAGAGGATGGGGACACTTGAGCTTGCGATTTTGCCTTTACCTATTAATCACCAGCTTGTATAGCACATACGTACTAGTATTCCATATAATGCTGAGGTGTAGGGTACAACAGCGATGCAAGCAACCATGGGCACAGGGCCAGGATCCACTTGAGACACTATTGTACCAAAAACGATCTAATAAATCTTTACTGCTTAAGTTATCTAGAAAATTGTTGCTCTCACTGCTACGGGGATTTGAAAATTATTTGTGATAGTTCATTCAGTCTTAATAATTACTTCTGTAAACGAGAAGAAAATATACAGTCATGAGTTTTAATGGTGTAAGAATTTCTACTCAATTGAAATGACCGTATATTTTATTTCGGGTATCGACTACAAAAATAGTAAATGAGTAAATTAATTATTGGAAGTTATGACAAGCCTGACCCAGTGCTCCATTTTTTTTTTTCATGCACGAGTCATAACTGAAGTCATCCCCGCAGTCACTCGTCACTCATCACAGCGCACATTTCCAGATAAAATTTATAGTATATAAATCATTTTTTATGGATTCCTCTGAATGAGCTGTAATTCACACTGCAACAGCCCCCACTTCAGATTACACCAGATCCACCGTATGATTATTTGGCTAAATGCTCCAAACAATTGTTCCCTTCGTTTCTACTTGCCGCTCTCAACGCACCGCACAATTTACGCTGGAAAATTTTATACCCCACTCCAAATGTTATAACAAAGCTACATAAAAAAGTTTATAGCATCCTGCCGCAAAATTACCGTGTGCCAAGTTACACTGCAATGCTAAATTCTCGTACAGTAGTATCTGTTATATCGGATTGTGTATCGAGTTGGTTTTACAACAGCCGGGGAGATCCTCGTAAGCCCTTGAACTCAAATTGATACGAATATATCCCCCAGGAAGTTAATATCTCGAATGGGTATTGGAAGCGACCAGTGACGATGAGGAATTTCCAAAATGGAATCAATTCCTCCATCCTACAGTACGACCAGTGTTTATATATAATTTTGAAGCAAATAGGCGGGTTCAGACGGCCTAGTTTCTTCAGTCAAAGTTTAATCATCTCCTGTCAAGGATAACTAACCCCTTAATAAACTGCATATAAATTGCGTCGGGTTCTATTACCTATATTCATGAAAATCTAGGTCTTCCAACAGGCCTTACCTGTTCATACTTCAAAGTTGAGGACAATTTATTATCGCAGCGTGTACTTTTTTTTCCTCGAGGACGGTTAGTATCGCTGAAATTTATTCGCTGAAAAATCGTGACACGAAACAGATTCTATCCTTACGTTTACCAAAAAAAAATTGACTGATGGTATAATCTAACTTCTTTTGGAGTTGTACCGAGTGATACGGATATTGAAGAATGGGGAACTCAATGTAAAAAAACTAGTTTATGAGCTACTCAATGGCCGGAAATTCGTTTTTTTTTGTTAAAAAAATTCTTACGAATGTTTCGACGGGTCTTGTAAATCAGGGACGTTTCATTTTTTTCAGGTGAAAAAATTTACACATTAAATAGTGGTATTTTTCGAAGAAAAAAAATCAGTTGCAGATGAGGGAGATGAGGGAGTTGGGGGTGGTTTGCCGGTCATGACCCAGTCGAAAGAACTGTGGATATTTACGTATGGAAATGACCATGTAGAACAACCACTAACCGGCAAACGCCATGCTCATTACACCAGGCTCTTTCGACGAATATATTTCTCTACGCGGTTGCCCATTCCCTTTTACGTTATGAAAATTTTAATTACTCCGCAATGTTTTAATGAAGGAAAATTGAAATTCTTAATGAAAGAGTAAGGGAAAATTCAACGAAAATTGTTAACTGAGTGCTCACCTGCTACCTGGTCCTCCGTGAGTCCATACTCCGACTGGAACACACGAAAATATAATTTTAAAAGTCATTAGGCATTAATTTTCAGGGAACAAATTGGCTTTTCGGTACGAATAATAATGCTGAGGATAGGAAAATTTGATTTTTCAATGTGAAAATGGACAAATATTAATATTGGAATATTTCCAGGGAAATCGAGAGATCACTCGCTGTTTAGTGATGCCCTCTCGTTGAAGGCTAAATCGTACTCCACTGACAACACAGTCGAACCATTTGTACCCAGAGCTAATTGGGTCATTAAAAGTTTCTTTGCTTACACGAGTCCTCAACTCTGGGAATGTAGAACCAGTAGCCAACGGCGACTACTTTTGCAAATGGTTAATCAAGTGACATAAAGGTCTCTATGTGACATTTCACGATCATTAATTTCATATATTCCAACGATCAAAATGATGCTCGCGATGAAAATGAAAATGAAACTCGAGATTAGCGGGTGAAAATATTTGGTCGTTTCTCGTTTCCGGCGGTCTCCATCTAAACTGTCTCTCCTCATCTCCATCCATATATCAACAAATTATAAATAGGAATAAAACCGGCAGATGAACCAGCCGATGCAAACGGCCATCGTAAAACCGCACGTGACTCTACCTCACGCACATCTTCTTTACGATTTGTTTTTTTTTATAGTTCTCCACATTAAAAAAAAAATGCACGCGCGGGGTTATCAGTGGTACCTTTTCCCCGGTAACGATCTTTAAAACCGTAAATGTAAGATGTGGGTTTAGTGCTCTAGCACACGTGAATGTATTGTTGATCGTGGAAATTTATGGGCAATGGGCTCTGGGTTTCATTTCATGGCATCATGATTCTTACTTTCTTCGTATGCGTAATTTGATTCTGAATCGTATTGACGCATGATGTGATATCACGGATCGGTAGAGTGACATGTCACTGACAGTCACATAACGAATGTTGCTCGCGTCAAAAAGTTTCAACCGTAAATGGAAAAATGTTGGAATGGTTGTGTCGATGCCGATATTTATCAAGAACGTACTTTTGGTGCTCGCGGAGATTTCCGTGGGTATCCAGTGGCGGTGGAGAAGCTCCACTGTTCGATATTTTCAAATCTACCGCCTCTCTCCCCCGCGACAATACGAGGTCAGCCTGGAAAGTGGGTCGCGTTGCTTTTTAAGCATTTCCAACAGCGAAAAAAAAAGCTGTCGTATAAATTTTGAGAAACTATCTCTCAACAGTGAAAACCACCGAGGATATTCGCATCCACTGGAATCCACGAGTCAACGGAATGTCAGACACTGGTAATATCCAGACATGCATGACTCGCAATATTTTTTTTTGTTTTCATGTTTTGTTGGTATTGGCAGGTTACCAAGAGTTGAGGAGGGAACAAAGAGAGGGAAGCATTGAGAAATGTTTATGAGTTGATCTCAATAATCTATTGGGATGAATGAAACCAGAAGACTTACACTGATCTGTCGAATCTGGGGATCGATTGTGCTGGTCAGTCGTCTCAATCTTCCGTACTCCACCGAGTAATTCCTCTCGGTATTCGCCATTATTTCTAATTATTTATATTATGTATCGTTGATTTAAAAGTTGATTAAAAAATTAATGTGCACAATGAGAATGAATTGAAGCACTGGAGTCACACGGAAGTAACTAACGTTGCCATCAAACCCGAGCCCAAGCCTCCTCACTCGTGTAGTTGGTCCACAACATTTATTACTGGCTGCATCGCCAGCTACAACGAACGAGTCAGTTGCCAGAATTTCCCAAAGTCCCGCGGGTTATTTCGTCCAGAAACGCAAAAAGTTTAGAACGTTTGCTGGCTAATTTCTTTTTGACAGCAACGGTTTCACCTGCTCCAGGTGATCATCCTCACTCAAGTCACTCGAAAAATTTTCCGCGGGAGATGATTTTTGCTCATGAGAAATTTTTTAATCGGGAGATAAAATCAAATCCCGTTGTCCTCGTTTTATTTATCTTGAACAATGACACCGGTAATAACGCGCGGAAGTATAGAGTCTATCTGATGAATTCAACATGATCTAATGGTCGTGAAGAAGATTCCTTCGGCCAAGTCGCGTCAACCTTCGAGACATTTTTAAACTCCCACGTTGTTAGCGGGAGTTCTCGGTTATGTCTTTGCCAGTCTCAATGCCACCAATACACGAATCGTTTTAGATGTTCCTTCGAAGATGCTATATAATTGTCAATGTGTCAGTGGATCGAGGAATTTTCACCGAAACACGTTCGCTAGGAGACAACAGAGGATTCGAGAACACGTGCTCTGATGATAAATGAAATTGTGCCAAGATCCGGAAGTGCGGAGGTCAATCCACTCAGGGTGTCATTCAGGATTAAAAGAAGCGATCAAATTGAAATGTCAATCAGTAATACTTCGTTTCCCAATATTTTATTGATGGCTAAGACTAATTTTTATTTGTCAATCAAACAGCTCAACCGCCCTGGACATCAATTCGGTGCAAATTTGTCCACTGCAGGGCCCCAGGGTGAGACTAGAAATTAATCGAGAATAGAGGATTTCATGGTACACGCTGAGTGCGATATACCCTGAAGGATATTTACGTACAAACGGAAGTGAACCGTGTGGTATGTCGGCATGTGGGTGGTAGACCACTCAAATCCAGAGATCAAGTAGTCCAAGTGGTAAAGACCTCTCGATCAATGCTCCAATCATATATTAATCACTTTTTCTTGGCCTTCGGAAATCTTTATTAAATTCATTTGAAAGAGAATAGAGAACGCATTTGTCGACTGAGTGTTGTGACATTCGTGGAAGATGTCGCGAGATTTCAGCACAAACCATGTGTTTTTATTTGACAATGGGAACGATCTATTTGTAGATCATCGTCGTTGCAAGTGCTCGACACTCGCATTTCCCTCATTTTGACTTGCCTTTTATTTTCTTTACCAGTTCTGCAGCCCCTAACCAATTGGAACTCCTCAGTGAGATTAAAGTGCACCATCGTGACGTTGGAACACGACAAATTGCTTTTCAACTATGGCTGTTGAAAAATTTTTCCCCTATCACACTGATTCTTGGTTGGAGAATTATGAAAAGTTGAAGATACTGTTATGTATCTCAAACTTTGAACTGAATCTTTGTTAACGGGTAGAGTCGATCCTTCGATCGCTCTCGAATAATTTTTTTAACGAAATGGTGAAACTTTTAAAGTGAAATCATCGTTAATAGGGCGATTACCTCGAAAGCACTTTTCGGGAAATTTCATTGGCCCCGTAAATTCAAGAAAATAGTATTTTTTCCATTCAATAATTTTGAATTTTTTAATACTCACCAAATTGATAGTGACTATCAGATCATACTGCTGTCTCTGTCCCTTCTTCTTGTTTTTCCCAGTTTTGACTGAAGCCGCTTTGGGTGTGACCTTGACTTGTCCTTTTTGTGCACTTGGTTTTTGGGCTGGTTTTCCCGGACCTTTGGCACCAGGCGCACCCTTCTGACCACCGGTCAGGGGAGCTTTTTGTCCCGAGGCACCCTTTTGATTAACGTGACCTACTCCATCCGCAGGTTTGTTACGTGCCTGGAAATCGATCGTAAAGTTATATTAAATTCAATTATTTATGAATTCCATTACGATCTTGACCTGTCGCAATCGGTTTGCAACTACGGGCACAACGCGAAAGCTAACTGAAATAATCCCCAAATAAATGCGTCCGTGAATGAGATATTTTCTCAAATTTTTCAGAAACTTATGTAATTCCAGCTCCCACTCACAATTTGTCAAATAAATGGTGAATGGAGAGGAATTGAATTCTTGTTGACGTATCGCCTTCCCTTCAATTCATACTGAAAACTCAAATAAAGAATAAAAAATGACGCATTGTCTAATTCCTACGGCTCACATATTTCAGGAATAAAATATCCAGAAATTTATAGCATGAGGAAAAACTGTAGCATATGAAACGAAATTCCATGGGTGTTTTGGAGGGTTTTGGGATGGGTAGGAGAAGCTGAAGAAAGTGGGACACGAGCGATCGAAACTTGCAGAGTAGAGCTCACGGTTTCTCCCTGAAAGTTGCCGAATGGGGAATTGCGTTGAATAAGAGACGGGAAAGGGCCGAGGGGGGTAGAAAAGTCAAGAAACGGTTTGTATATAGAATCACCTTGCAATGCATTTACTAATAAATCACGTCGATGTACCACTCAGCCTCGTGCATTGAGAATTCCACGCGTCTTTCTCGGATTGAGATGAATTCCCTCGCGTGGGATAATATGGGATTCTGAAATATAACAGCGGACAATATTTTCGTAACCAGAGACTGTCGTCGGAATTTTTTTTTTCCAACGATCAGGTGGAAACGAAAATAGTCGGAATGAAGACCTTGTTAATTTCCACGACGAGTTTGTCTAAACGATAAGTTAGTCGTGTCAGTTAAAATTCCAAGGATGTTTTCGATTATTAAAAATAGACGCTAATTCGTTATGAGATTTTTTTTAATGGAATTCCTCCAGTTTCGAAATTGGTAAAGCGCGTCAGGAATAATATTTTAGGCAAGTTACTTTGAATTGAAGGATTGCATTGCCTTCCCCTTCACTTGGTATGTACTTCAATGTGCTTGCCAAGGTTAGTATTCATAAATGTTGCGGAGTAACTCGAAAGAACTGTGCGAAGATCTGTGCCATGAGTAAGATTAATCCGATTTACGACCCAGCTGCACTTTAAGGGTTGATTCTCAAGCTACTCAATTCTCACGAAAGCGTCTGTTTTATTATTTCCTTCAACTTCAAGTACACCCTTAATATTCACCCCGTAACAACTCATCACAGCAGCATCCTTCCAATAGGAAAACATTATTTCATCTCGTGGTTGCAGAAAAACATTTTGAAAGAGTGCGCAGGGATTTCGAGCCGTTGATATATGATACAGTGGATGCAAAAAATGGGAAGGAATTTATTTGGCTGTTGTAAATCACTCAATTTGTACTGGGGAAGATTTATCAGCCTCCCACCAGCGGGAATCTTCCCTTCCCCATGCCCACCTTTTGAGAGTGCCTCTTGTGCAAATCCCCAGAGTTTTGCAACTCAACTTTCAAAAACTTCTGCTTACTCACGTGCTAGTTGCAATATAAATGCCTGTTATGTCAAGCCGTTAATATTGCAACGAGTAAAAATTTTCGGGGACTTCAATCGAGAACGTTCAATCGATGCGTTCAATCGATATTTTTTTTAATGAATGGAATGGGATTTCCCGATCCAAATTAATATTACCGCTGAAATTCGAAATAATTGGGCGCTCACGGTGGACACTGAATTGTTCGAGTATATTTATGTGAAAGCTCTAAAAAATGAATAAAAAAAAAATCCGAATGAGGAATTGATGGACGTTCATGCTGTCCGGTAGAAAATGATAAAAACGCGGGACTAGTCGATGGAAAATATTGTTCCGGCAGTTTTGAATAGTGGAAAAAACCCGATGATGAATACTCGATGCTATTGTCCGGTTGCATCCCGAAGAAAAAAACTGGCGGTGTTAGTCGGTTAGCTGTGCCGTTTTATTCCATTCCAATCTTTTAATTAAGAGACATGAACTCGTGATTGCGCTAAACCGTTTTATCTCAAATGAGTCCCAATTATGATTGGAAAAATTAGAGTTTAAAATTGGATTATCTCACATACATTTTGGCCATTTTACGGAACACATACTGGCTGCAAAGCTCTTCTTCATCAGATGAAGGAGAACGAAATGGAAATATTTTTCTCTGTTCTTTCTTGCTTCCCTGGAATATCTATGCTTTGGCTCTCAGTCGTTCTTGCGTCAACTCGTTGCCATCCAGTTGTTTGAGAGTTGTCAAAGGTATGCTGACGACAATTTGAGGACAAAACTGAGAAGTGACACTTATTTATAATGCCGTTTCAAGTAAAGTTTGTACAGTCGTCAAAGGCTGGTGAATATATAACAGACAAGAGGTTGCAATCAACGGATTGTTTCCCTCCGACATTTGCAGACTCACTAGTGTATACATTGTATATAATTACGGACTCGGTGACAATTGATAATTCATTGTGATACCGTAAGAAATGAATGCATCCACGGAATTCGTCGAGTTGGTCGATTTGTTGATTCCGTTACTGACGCAGATAATCCGAAATTTATCTATCAATGTGATAATTATTACTGATTCTATTCTCGAAATAAACTGGATCGTATAATGATTCTATGGAGACACTGAGGGGACACCTTACTACGTACATCAGCGTGGGCAGTGGAAGACTGACGAGATAATTATAGTAGAACCTAACTCTTCCTCATCCGTTTCACGTGTGCAAAATCCAGTTGTAATTACTTTTCCTCCAACGACTTCTTGTCAGTTAATTAATGGGTAATATAGGCCGTTATATCTTCCTTTTAGTTTAAAGTTAAATCCTTTTTTACGTGTCACGCCAAAGGATTTGCGAACGAGCGTTTTTATTGAGGCGATAAGACGCAATGTTCTCGTCAAAAATGATTGACTCGGAGGGAATACTAACTCCTGAATATAAAATGAAATATCCGCTGTGTATGATAAGAAATTTTTGACAATTTTCAATGCCGAATATCTCTGGGGATAAAATCGATATTTCAAGAGTCTCCTTATCTCAAAATTTTCCATGCAATTAATAACAAAATTCCACCCTCTGAATTAATTATGTAATGACATACATATTCTGTCGTCGGAGGTATGTTGAACCCCCGGATACTTCATCAGTGTTCCATTAATCAGATGTTACGTGCGCCAGGCAATTTAATGGAGGGTGAGCCCTCAGTTCAGTGGCGGTAGCTTCCGGTAATGTGGAACAAACAATTTCCCCTAGAGATGTGATGACCATTTCTACATGGAAAGTTGAGTCAAGTCTCTTAGGACATTGTAATGGGAGGGGCAATGCAGTTTGTGCGTCAAGAGGTGGCTCGATTGATGGAAACAGAGGGGGACTTTACCTTGTTTCTTGTAATCATTATCTGATGAGAATGGCTTGGGGTTGATGTAAGTAGCGGCCTCTTGGCACGCCAGGGTACTCAGCTGTAGCTGAAAATTGTTTCGCAAATGAATTCAACAATTCCCAGGGTTAATTACATGGGTAAACCACTTGCCAAGGGAACATTTAATCGATCATGTTAATAAGATTATTTCTTTTTCACTGTATTTCAACATTTGCCAAATATTTTCCACTTTTATTTTTATTCCACGCTTGTCCCATATTTTTTTCATTCCATACTAGCCTCAGATGGGATATTTTTTAATTTTTTTTTGCTGAAAGCAACTCTGTCTGTCTAGAACCACATTTTATGTCTTTCGTAGTCCTCAGATTCGATGAGAAGAACTGCTGACTGTAAAATACGGCAGTCGCATGGAAAACGACAGTAACATAGCCGTTTTGAAATAGCCTTCTACCGTGTCTTCAATCTTATGGTTCTTTTTGGTGTCTCCAAGAGGCTCTACACTCACCAATATCGGGGCTGTTCCTGGTGGTGTATTTTTCCATCGGTCTCATGATTCCTGACGAGCACGAGGGGCTTGTCGCTATCCATGAAGAGTTGAAAATATTCAAATGTCGCTGTAAAAATATAAAAATTGTCTCCCAAGCACTCATATTCAACCCAACGATAGAGTTTATATTCCAACATGACGATTGCAGCGTTGAAAATTTTTATTTCCTCGCGGAAGCTCGAAGAGACATATTTTTTATTCGAAAATATTTTCATTCTGATAATCAAACTGAAATTTAAAGACAGAAAGTAGAGAAATCAAATCCCTGGAGATAATTCCTCGGGGGAAGTGAATTAGAGTGGGAGAATCTGTCTTGTACCTCGAGCTTTTTTCTCGTGAGAATTTCGTCACATGACGTACCCATGTCTCTCAATACAAGCATATGACACGGTTCTTTTTTTTTTTTTCTGTCCCCTGAATATCCAACGAAGTGGCAACGAGCAAGACACTTGTTCCTGCCGATTGGCCGTTTCTGTTTTCACTTGGTCTGTAGTATTATAGCCCATCTTCATGGCATCACTGATGGGAGTAGGAGGAACAACAAATGGAAGGCGGTGGCAAAAAGCGTTTGCCGAAGGTTATAAAAGTTATCCTGCTAAGCTAAAGCTAGTTTAGTGTGGGTGAGACACTCAAGATTCAGTCGGTCGTGGAATAAAGCAAGAGCAAGAACTCTCAGCATAATGGTCAGTTTACGGATTCTTAAATTACCCCGGTCTTCAGCGTATAAAGTGTTTACATTCCGCTCAATGGGATGAGAGAAAAAAAATTAAAATACACTGTTTGTTGTGCTCTCTTTTTTTTCCCCCATTACAATTCACTTCATTGTTTTAATGCCGGAAATTGTCTGTCCACTCGTTAAGTGACGTTAATGAATGATTTATTATTGGAGGAATTTCGGAATGGGGCGGATTATTGAATCAGCTGACACAAACATCAAGCGCTTTTTTTATGAAGATTTTTTTGTGCCATAAAAAAAGTTCTTGGATTCTCAAGAAAAATATATGTCACGTGATTAATATATATTTCGCATATATAGATTTTACTGTGCAGATTCAAACTCGATAATGGCGAGAAATCGGACACGTACCTATGATTAATCCCAGTAGAATAATTTATTTTTAACCGTTTTATTTTTCCTGCTTTTCATTCATGGAAAGCTCAAAGATGAAAGGTATGTCGATGCAATTTCACTGGGGCTTGTTTGCCGGATCGATATGAACCCACATTCATCATGCAGTTTTCCGATTTCCAATTAAATCGCTCTCGAGTATATTTTTCACCTCCCGAATTGGACGCTTCAATCAGTATAATACTTGTTTTTGATTCACACGAATAAAAAGTAACAAGCATTAATGCCAAGCGTTTTGATTTTTGTTTTCAGGATGAGGAGCAGACAAAAAGTGAGTAGAAATAATGTCTCATCGGCTATTCGCTCTTTAAAACATTTAAATCGAGGGCATTTAATTATATCCACGGGAGAGTCTAGACAAGCGCATTCATTTTTCAAATTTTCCAGTCGGTCTCTTGATAATCTGTAATGAACCCGGCATTCATCAATCACGCGTATTATACTTGAATCGTTAAGACTTTCTGGTTTGGGATTTGATCGATTAATTTAGAAGGCATGACACTCATTCATCCGTGTAACTACGTCAACAAGTATATGGGCTTTGCCATTCGTATATAATTTTCCGGTGGGCGACAACACAACTCGCGGGGCTGGGATTTGGGTCAGTGAATTTTGTCGTGAGAGGTGGAATATGTATAAACTACTCCTGCAAATCGTCATTGTGAATTTCACGTAAACTCCGTGATTCCAATTGGTACTTCCAATCGTCGAATTTACATTACAAATAACCCCGGGGGAACTACCCAAAGTTTCATGTATTTCCAAATTTGATTTTTCTCTCGGCACTAAAAAAATTCAATTTCAATTAAAAACGATCACGACAATTTCTCACTCATCGCGGAATTTAAAAATCGTGTTATAATTTATTGATTGCCATTTCCGATATTTTTCTCTTCTAAAATTGCTTATTTATTATTTTAAAATGCAATGAAATTCCCGGGAGTGACCCTGCCGTCTGCAGATGCTTTGGCTTCTGTTTAAGACGGATTATTTATCAACCGGGAGAATAAATAAACCAAGTTCGACGTATATCGATGCATTTGGCAAACTTCACCGTTGATATTAAATTGCCATTGCGTTTTTGGAGGAGATAAAAATGGAATTGGTTTAGTTTCTGTCTCCATATATCATCCGATTGCGGAAAAATGACACACCACTTTTGCACATACCCGAGAAACTGATGGTTAATTCCGTCTTGATTGTTAATTGATTTAGTGTTGAAGAGGGCATTCTCTATGTTTGACTCTGGAAAAAAGGGAAGCATCGAAAAAGAAAAGGTGAAGACCATTCTAAACACTCTGGGCCACACATTCGATGATCAGGAGCTTGAGTCACTGCTCCAGAAAGAAGATGAAGAGGGTGAGTAATTAATGAGAAATTAAACCTCAAACATTCGTTCTTATGAATTAAATATGCGAATTCTCCAAGGCTGACTCATAAAGTAAACTGACTCAGAATTGATTTATCGATTCCTTAAAAACTTGGATAGATAATTACGTAGCCCCCAACTGACTGTATAATCACGACGATAATTTATTATTTCGTGGTCTCCCTGTCACCACAAATAAAAAATACAAATTAACTCAAATGCAACATAAGAATTTAATATTTCGTAATTCTAGAGAGAGGGTAGCGCCTAAATTTCGTACTTTTCACCACGACTATCACGGCTGAATATTCATTACTAATAAGCAACGAACCGGCAAAATGGTGGGCGTTTATTTTATCTGGGCATCAGTTTCTCCAGGATATCTCCCGCTTTCCGGAAAATAGGAAATTTTCTTGAGAATGTTTTCTGCAGAGCGTAAGAAAAGCTACCAAAAAGCTCACGAGAATTTCCTTATCCTCAAGATGCAGAGATATTTCCAGAGAACTCAAGGAGTTAAGGGAGCTTAGAATGTTTTTTTACTCCGCCCATCTCATGAAAGTTTATCATAACAGCCAAGACTCGACGCATTCACACATATATTCATGTTTCGTGAATTGAGAATTTTCTCTGTATAAAAAGAAAATTGGAAATGGGATAAAATGCCTTCAATAATCCTGAGGCAGTGGCATTATATCCGTCGCTCGTTTATCTCATCCCACTGTGTCACTCCTGAATAGCCGTGTGAGAGCAAAAAATCGTAAAAGCGTAGATGTGTTAGGATCTTCACTATATGACACCCTCGTATGTTGAGGTGAAGTCATGAGCGGAAAGTGGTAAATGTTCTAACACGATGGTATTTAATTCTGGTGTAATGGGGCAGACTTGAAGCCCTGTCACCTGAATTAGTCTTAATCCATCGTGTTGTTCGGAAACAGATGCTAAAACGATCTCGCCCCTGAAGGTCTTCCCCAGGGGTTGTGGACATCGCTCTGAAACTATATCGAGCTAAATATTCCCATACTCATGAAATCAGTGAAGAGGAGATCATTATTATTCCAAGCACGTCGTCGTTTTCAATGTCCGATCAGGATTCTCTCACAGCTGATTCAGATTTAATCCTTTGATGTGCGGTAAATTCTCTGTTAATTATCGAAAGCTCCAACTGATGGTGAACTAATCGTCTCGGAAACTCATTATCGAGGATGCAATGGTTGGCAGGATTTTCGGCAGTTTAATGTGAAAAGTTTTGAATTTTCATGTTTTTCTTTTTTGCTTGAATTTCAGGAAGTGGTGTTGTGAGTTTTGACGCGTTCTGCAGGGTTGCCTGCCACTTCCAGGAGGAAGACGATGAGGCTCTCCAGAAAGAACTGAAAGAAGCCTTCAGGTTATATGATAAAGAGGGAAATGGATACATTCCCACGAGCTCACTCAGGGAAATCCTCGCTGCTCTCGATGACCAGATCACACCGGATCAAATGGATGGAATGATTGCGGAAATCGATACAGACGGCTCTGGCACAGTTGATTTCGACGGTGAGTTTTTAACTCTCCTAACTCTAATTGTTTATCGGAACTTTTATTTTCAATGAATTTTGTTCTTTAAACTCATTACGGTGGGATTTTTTTTTTATTGTGTCGAATACTTTTTCGTCTACTGGGCTCAACTAAAATTAAACCAAGTTGCATTCGTTATCAGGCTTATCGTGATTTCTGTGAGAGTAGGTGTGGTGAGAAAACTGGGATTAAATTTCTTGGGACAAATGAGCCCACAGGAATGAGTCTCTCCTGCTCCTCTCTCGAGGGGGTCTAAGATTTTAATTGCACCGAGAGCTCGAGGCATCGGTACTGTTTTTTTTTTGCACTTTGTGCATGCAATTCTGGGGCTTTACGATTCACTATTTGTGGGCGCCGTGTGTGTAGGTAATAATCCGCGGCCTCGTACATAATGAATGGAAAAAAGGCACATAAAAAAATTGCACACCACTGGGAATTAAAATTCACTTCCCTTTTGTTTCAGAATTCATGGAGATGATGACCGGCGACTGAGCCTGAATATTATACCAACAAAAAATTTTATTCATCCCACAAACAAGGTGACAAAAAATAAACAGATATGTATGACTATTTTGTGAATATTTCAGAAATAAAATATTCGCCATAAAAATCGTCCGTCAATTCCTTTAAAATTCTCGACTTCCGGATTTTTTTTTTTGAATCCTGATATATGACCGTATAATTTCAAACACCGGACACAATAGTCTCGACAATTCTCACCCAGTGGAGAAACTATACAGGTGGAGCATATATCGTAGTGAGTACCCAGAAGTCCCAGGCGGAAGATTTTAATCACGCTGGTCGCTCGCTTTAAACCTCACTCTTCATCCCCCTTTACACCCACCAACTTCTACTATTTCCACTGGACCCTCCAGAGATTAATGGATTTCCCACGAAAAGGCACGAGACGCTTTACTATTCGGTCCCCTCACGTTTTTTTTTCCCTCTAAACCCCCTTTTATCTTCTCCCTCCTCCATTCCCTTCAACTCTTTCCCTCCACTTTTTCATTCTGAATCGGCGGAACGAGATCTCCACAGAGTGCAAAGTCCTCGACTAAATATTCATGATTTCGTGAGCGATGAAGGAATGCAAATATTGGATGGCTGGACCGGCTCTGAGGGTCTTTGAGGGCTCATTGGGCATTCTATGCTACTTGTCCACTAGGATTCATCTTCATCTAGGAGTAGCACAGCTGACTGTTCAAATGCGATACACAACGATTACTCAAGTGGATTATGTCTGTCCCCTGACCCGCATGAGGGAAGAGGTATCAAGGTGACAGGGAATACCATGACTAGTAGTCAACATTATTATTGGGAGTACGTACGAAAATCCTTTAACACCAGGTGGAATTACCAAAAAATTTTGTTGGAACCCTGCCCGGAAATATTGGATGTGCACAGCTTGTTCCATCAAAGTGTAATTCGGTGGGTATCTAGAGGGTGATAAAAAGTGCTGGCGCATCTGAATGAAATTCAAACATCAATGGAATTGTTTTCCTTCAATCGAGATTTTTTTTTCGACTCCATGAAAATCGTGGAGGTATTCCCGGAAATTTGAAAATTCGAAATTTTTGGAAAAGTATCAGGGGAGCATAAAAATCGAGGAGGTATTCACTGAGATTGAAAAATTCGAAATTTTCAAAAAAGTATCAGAGCAGCATGAAAATCGAGGAGGTATTCGCTGAAATTTGAAAATTCAAAATTTTTGAAAAAGTATCAGGGGAACATGAAAATCGAGGAGGTATTCACTGACATTGATAAATTAAAAATACAGCCTTACACAAGATCTCGTCTTACCCGAGCGAAGGCTGGGGACAGGGGTACACCGTATTGTCCTGCATAATGTGTTCAACATGCCGTGCACCGGCTACAGTTTCCATTTGCAACTGATATCCACCCACCGGAATAACATGACACGATCCTGTTCTCAAAATACAACACAGTTTTTTCATGTACACAAAAAAAGAAATTCCCACTTTACTAGAACTGGTCTGCACATGAATGACCGTATCTACTGATCAGGTAGAAACAGCACTGAGATAATATAGTTTAAAGTCCCAGTTCGAGTCAGCCGTGCAACCGAATACAGGCTTGGGTAGTTTTCCGTGACTCTCTTCATTTTAAATTTTATCAGTTGAATTTTCGGCGAGCTCCACTATAGAAAAGAGTTCGAAGGGATCGATAAGAGTGAGGAAGACACTAACGCCCTTGAAAAGTTGAAATCCATCGGATGTCTGAGAAAAGACGAAGAGAAACGAAATGAACGAGAGAAAACTGAGGGACGTGACGGCATGAATGTAAGGTGTGCTATCTAGGTCTTATTTTTTTTTTCAGAGGAAAAGATTCGCTTGAGTTGGGATAGAAAATAAGAATCAGTGTTTGTGTGAAGAGAAATAGAGACGAAGCCCTTGGCGATTTATTTATTGGAGGTGAAAGAGAACTCTTATTTTCTGGAGAGGTCTCTATTGAGGGATTTTAGAGAAATCGTTCTGTCATGAAAATTCGTGGACACGTTTGAGTTCAACTCCGCGATTTATTCGAACCAGCGATTTTCAATCAATGAATTTCAAAATATAATTTGATCCTTAGCGGACATTCTCCCACTTCAAATAATAACAACAATTATGTAGGTGTTCACATTAATTCAAAATAATTATCCTGCCATGCTTGACCTCATTTCGCGAACAAAATTTCGGAAAGAAAAGGTCTCTACAATTTTTCTAGAGAATACACTCGCAAATTCCAACAATGGCTCGACAGAATGACAGTAAAACGCGTACTCTCATTTTAAACGAGTTGTCGAAGCAAAAAAACATCAACTGCATGTATGCAGGGAGTTTTTTTTTCAGTCATTTGGCACAACTGAACTACACAACATCCTAGCTCACGCTATATATTTTTCCTATATATTTTTCCAGAAATCCTGGTAAGGGTGTGCAATAGGATTTTTTTTTTGCAATTGTAATGAAATTAATGTCGATTGTGACAGACATGTTGGTATGGCCTTGATTGAAGTTACTGCACCTGAACCTCGCGTCAAGGTTTAGATGTCGTCGTACGGAATTAATAATTGAAGAGAAGAAGAGGTCAGTATAGAAAACTGAAGGCGGATACGAAATGGGGTAGTGGCTGCACCCTCGGGGCATCGATCGACAAAACTCCCACCACCCCATTCCTTCCCCGAATCCCACAACCACGACCTACAGTATAAAACGACTTTTCTCCACGCGCGCGCTTTACCAGTCCCTTCATTTATTGCTCTTATATATTTTTTCTCGCAAATATACCTGAGACGAAAAGTATCCACTGAATTTTTCCTCCAAGACTTCGCTAATGGATGCTCTATCAATATTTTCGAGGATTCATTATCGAAACAATTATTGGGTGCTCATGAGCGGCTTTTTCTCGTCTCATGAAAATTCGATAGAGTTTTTCTCTGCAAACATCGTTTAGAGAAAGCGGATGAAAAATACTTGAATTCTTCATGTGGAACGAATGCGAGATGAATTCTTCCGGATTTTTTTTCGGCTTGTAGGAAGCTTTGCCATTTTTTATACGTAATTTTTTTAATCGCCGATTGTGCTTGTGGAATTTTTTTAGGATCAGTTTACCTCATCATTATAAAATTCTTCTCATATTTCCGGGCGAATTTCGTATATTGTGGATCGTACCTTCATGAAATATTCAAAGCGTGGGTTGTAAATTAGCGGAATTTTTCGCGGAATATCGAAAATTTCAATTGAGCGTTGAATGGTAATTGTGGATGGTGAAATTGGGAGTTCCAGTGGCACATGAATAGAGATTTGTTAACAATTTCAAGTTTTTCATTTGAAATTCCAAATGTCATTTACCAACCAGCCATTCTTTCGCAACATTAGCGAGTGTATTTATACGTTCAAAATGAGGGGAAAATTTCCAACAATGTTTAACGATATTTTCTTAACCACTTGTTCTGCTTCAGCTGTTATGTTGAGTTCCCAGTAGTGTACCAAATACCCAGTTTGAAAATAGATAAAATAGAACACATAAAAACAAACAAGACAGGTGCATGCAAAAATGATGTAACTCTAAAGATTGCTGACAATGCACTTTTTTTTTAAAACTTTCGCAAATATGAACCTACGAATGGCATGGGTAAATGAATGGCAAACATGCGTCATATATTCCAATTGCGTGTCATCTACGATAGTCATATCACACATGCACCCTTGCATTGACCTCGTTAAAAAAAAAAATACTACGTTTCAGCCTCTAAAATGCAAAATTCCAGTAAAATCATTGAAAATGCTGAGAAATACAATTTCCCTTGAAACTAACATCTATTTGAGGAAAAATAAAGCTGAGAAGTCATGAACTGCCGCCATACGTAGGCGTAGTGCTTTAGAAAAACGTGAAGTAGCTCCGAAAAAAAAATGATTAAAAAAATAAAATTGTGTCAAGTGCTACGTACGGAGTCGAGGATATAAGTGACTTACTCTGCCGTAAGATGCACCAATTACTGGTTATCTTATTCATTTTAATTAGCATAATATAATTTAACGTAACAGTATAGTGTAACCACAAAACTCTATGGAACAATCTACGCTGAATAATCTCTTCAATTTCGTTGAAATTCTAATCACCAAAAAAAATCAATGAACTCTGTCTCTAATTGCTAGTCTATGTGGTTTCATATTGTGATCGTGGTATGTACCTGACTCAGGCTTCTAAAGCTACTTGTACTGGCGCTGCGAGCCTGCAAACACAAGTACAGTACAGGTCACCAATCACCACACTGCAGTTGAAAACGTGAATAATAATTATAAACAATAAGAAAAAAAAATGTCAAGTAGAATTGACGGAGATGTGCTAGAGGTAAGATAAACAGTAGATAGTCAAAACATTTAATAGCGAATAATAAGTGATAGCACATTAATCTGGTATGAGGCATTTCTTTGTGCGTATTTTGCATTGACGTGAATATTCGTGTAATTTATTTCTAATCATCGCAGTCTAGATATTATTTTATCATGATTGAAGATATTTTTCTTTGTCGTTTTATTTCATGTAGACATAGGCACAATTATAGCACTACACATCAAACAAAGAAATATAACTCTACCAGGAGAATTGAGTATCGACGAAATAAATTGTGTACGTCCGGAATAACAGCACAACTGACCTTTTTTTTATTAATGATCTTCATGAGGAATAAAGCACAAGTGATAGGCTCGGTCAACAGACATTAAAGATCAATAATGTCAATTGTTTATCGGAAGTATCTTGATTAACAATATTTATTGTTACAGATTTTTCTGGGGTGACAAACACCGGCAATTGATGCTGTTTTATTTGAATCTCTGGGGGAATAACAATCAATTCTCTCCCTCGGACCTTCTGTTTATTTTTGCTTTCCTCTCTCGATTTTATTCTGCATGTACCACAGGTCTCGACGTTTCTGTCACTCTACGGAACAAGAGTCACAACATCACGTTTTTTTTTCCCCCAAAACAAATAACGAAATTCAAACGCTGTCCGCACGAATTTTACACACGGTCGTGATATGAAAATCTCATTATATCTCTTTTTAATGATCCTGACAATACCGCAACTATTCCTGCAATAAAAAGAAAAATAATCAGACAGAATGGTTTTAAAAATGAAATTCAATCGTTCCCGATGGATTAAGACGGCTATACGGAATTAAAAAATGGTGGAACATGCAAATTGCAGATAGATTTCACGAATTAATTAGCCTAACCCCTGTCTACTCTTCGTACCATGATTAATCGGACAATTATGTTCAATTAGATGCGTTAATCCAACCGCACATTGGATAGCTCAGCAGATTCTCTGCGTGATAGTCTGACGAGGGCACGTGGCAGATAGACTTTGAAATGAATTTAATACTCCTCGAAAATCTCATTAAAATGCATAATGAATGTCTATCAGGGATGTAGAAGTGTTGAGGTCTATTCAGCTGTCCCTGCAGTTTAGAATGAAGGGTGATTAACACCTTGGTTGATAAAAGGTGGGAGGATCTAGTATGGGAGGTTTGGAAACTGCATAACGTCATTGTTGAAGTTTTAAGCTCAACTACATGCCACAGTCACGGATAATAGAATCTCCCCATAGTTTGTGCTGACAACATCATTTGTCCAGAACGATAATTTATATTCGAATGTCCATGAATTAACCGAATAATGCTCCATAAAATACCTCATGATAATTTTCCAGAAATTAGTGGTTAAATCTTGGAATAGTCAACGTGCCTTTTTGATAGAGCAATCTGACGAAACTGATTCCCTCGTTTTATTACTACTACATTGATAGTCACTGAAAATTTATGAAGATAATAACTTTAGAATTACTTCAAATGATTTATTTTTTGACATACCGTGACCCTTCGTAGTGTTACAAAATACTTGACAGCGGTTGATCCTGCGGAAGTGCCACTGCCGATTAACTTGAGTTACAGTAACATCGCACGGTAACTACGAAGATAAGACCAACACGGAAGTGTATCCACTCAGGTTTTGAAGTTCTCGAGGTGGTGGGAAGGGTTTGTGTCGCTTGTATAAGCAAGGACACAACGATAACGACAGGACTGACAAGACGTTACCGGATGAGATTGAGGGCCCAGGCCACACACGATAAATCGATCGGCGGTATCGCGTCCGAAGTTACATTGTATCTTTGGGCATCCCACAGGCAATATCGATACTAACGACGATCCTTTATCTCCCTTTATCTTCCTTTGAACTGATGTATCCATCAATAGTGATGAAAGGCAATTCCGGAAGCCGAGGGAAACATTGATGCATGTGATTCTCGGGAGTTTCATTTCAATCTACAAAGGTCGAATCTGCGGTAATCCCCCCCCTTGCCAATTGTTTCATTCAATCGGAAATTGAATAATTGGTTAAATAGTTCACCGCATATCTCATAATTTTTCATTTACATTGTAATTTTCATTTTCAAAAAACCAATTCGTATTTGATGGATTACTTTATCCGGACACTGGTCTTCTGTTCAATCTACTCAGTGCAATTATTTTTTGAAAAATTGATAACGATCGTACGACAGACCATCAATTTTTTACGAACGTGACAATACTCGTGCGAACAGCGTTAATAAGTGATGTGCGTGCAACGAGACTAAAGCCCGTAAAGTGACTCAATTACATCAATTGTCGATAACGAAATATTCCCGATTTCGCACTCGTGTGAGACTAACGAACTTTGACAATTACGAATACCGTATCATCATATCAATATATAAAAAAAAAAGAGGAAGGCCCTCAGGCACCTCTAGTTGAAATATAACCTCCGACAAGCTCCGGGCAATTTGAAATACTCCCTGATATACACGTTCACTCCATTCTCATGGAGTTTTCCCCTCATTGCATTATAGGTCGTAGATAAATTTGCTCCCTCACTGGCAATAATAATTAAGATAAATCCGCTAAAGCAAACATTACCTTGCTTCTGTTTCTCGGTGTAAAATCCTCCTTGCTCGCCTTTCGCCGTTTGTCCTTGAGGATCATCCGTGCAGCCGCAAACGCCATTTTGAAATTTACCGTAGCACCACTTTTTTAATTATAAATCACGACTCAAAGCTAGGTGGAAGTTACGTTTCGTCGGGGTTGTAACCGCACCAAAAAATTTATCTCAAATTTCATTCAACACTTTGTCAACGTTCCTTCAATTATCTCTAAACATCAGAATAAATCAACAGTCATCAACCCTCCAAGCCCTCCAATTCAATAAAATGCCTAATTTTTGTTAAATAGCCTCACTCCGCACACTGTTTAATCCATTCAATAATCGAATAATCATAACCCATGAACACGATTAATTACTCTAATACAGCAGTCACATTAACTGGTAATATATGTGCGATGACGAAGCATTATGTTTAACATTTCAATGTCTCTCAGTGATATCGAACCACTATCATTTGCTATCATTCGATGTGATTGATTATTCTCTGTGAACATTTGTCGCTCACTTTTCCATCAACTTCTTCCTTCTCTCCTTATCTATCGTCTTGACTTTATGGAAGAATACTACGTTGCAAGCGACTCTTTGGGACTCCAATGTGTCTTCATGTTGGATGTATTTACCAACTATTGGGAAATGGGAATGGCCATGAATCTAAAATCCAGTCAATATATTTTCGATGAAATACACGTTGTAGAATAAATTTGCTGTTATCATTGGCAAATAGTGTTTCCATGGCGATATTTATTGTCCATCGTAAAAGCGCATAAGGTGATTAAAAAGAAACGATGGAAAATCAATCCCACAGGGGCTCCAGTGATTGAATATATCGGGTACGAGAATTTGATGTACCTTTACAAGGCAACAAAATTTTGTTACGACATACCAGTCGAATGGCTATTTGAATCTATTCTGCATTTACCGTCGCCCTTTAAGGGCACATCTGTCATTGTTCTCGATGCCTTAACGTCGTGTACCGAGTGCATAAATGGGAGTACTGGTTATTATTTATGGCATGTAATGGGTATTCAGGCGAGAAGGACCTAATGAACATTTAGAAAACGTTTAGTTTCTTTCATTAGAATTTTATCCCACTCCTTTTACTCGAGCTGAGATCCTCCGAAATGCTAAACCATTCCATTTGTATTCAGGCATGATATAAAATTTAAGTGAATGCATCTCACCTACTTGCATCATGTGGAAATTACACGCACTCTGTAGTTAACGGAAATGCTGTGAAAATGAGATGTAAAATGGTTTTGGAAGAGTACCATTATACTCCGTCTTATTTCCCCTTTTTTTCAGGCTCTCTCGGCTTTCATTAATTATTCGCGATTCGATGCACTGCAAATGTTTTAATTCTGTGAATACAGCAATCCGATACAAGTTCTAGATATAATTTATTAGAAATTTTTCAGGAATTGTTGTGTTGGTGTGCAATGAAAAATTTTTTATGCAAATATATTTCTCCAAATATCTAAAAAATCATAGCGATTTCATTTCATTTCCTTTTTGGTCGTCTTGTTTTTTCTCGGTATCGTAATCAGGTGAGGGGCAAACCAAGATGTAAAGGGCGAGTATAAAATGGCGACAGGGTGCGAGAATGAATGAACGACGATGCATTCGAGTGGAAAACGGGTAGGAAGAAAATTGAAGAGGATTATTGCTGCATCATTTGCCCGCGAGAAGACGGAAGTTTTGGCCGATGTACATTACGCTGCACCGCACATACAATAGATGAGGGTGGATTTTCAGTGTTAATATATCCGCGAGATGTTGCGATATTGGGTCAGTAGAACGGCAGGAGATTTGGGATAAATTGTGAAATTCGTGGAAAATAATTGTCGCCAGTATTCGTTTAATGTACGTAAAATACCGAGAACATCGGAAATTTGTACTTTTAACGTCGCAATTACCCTCATTTGCCTGTACGGAACATGACTTGATGGAGTGACACCTAAAATATTCATAAATACTCAGTGATACTGGTGGTAACCACGCGTGCACATATTTTTTTTGCAATTTACAGGAGCGATTGATTGATAAGAATCACGCGAACTGAAAGAAAGCATGCAAAGTGGCAAAAGTGTTACAACCAATCCACTACGAGTGATGGGTGTACTGATAATTTGCGAAACAGGGAAATTATCGCCTCGATTTTTTATAATCTACTGCAGAATAAAAAATTATGATTTCAGATATGAAAATATGTGTGACTCAATCCCGCGGTGAGCAGTTTCATTTGAAATTCATGATTCATACACAAATAATTATTAACAGAGCTAAATGGATTTGAACTTTCAACGAAATCCATTTCTCGATGATAACTAATCCTTTCCACGAGTGCGGTGAGGAGACTAATCTTTTATAAGATGTAAGGCGAAAAGTTGAATCGAGTTTCGGTATCGAACGATGATGTGACCTGGCAGTAAAAAAAAAATTGGAACGCCAGTACCACACCTAGACCATAATGTCCCCTGATGATGGATTAGATTTGCACGAAGGTGAATAACATGCTAGAATTGAAAAGACCGGTAACTAACCTCATTTTTTAAAATTGCACTTTCAGTACTTGGGGGTAATCAAGCTCTTTGGTTCATTACTACAATTATGAATTCAACTGCTCCCAATGGATTCCATTTGGATTCCAATGGAATTTTCCGCAAACACTCGCAATGTCTAGCGATTGATAATGGAAAATTATGGCGTTAAATGATCCAAGGGAAATTGCCGCGTGGGACGCTAGCATGTGGCACGTATCAATAATGAGTCAGACACGTAGAATGAAATGAGAAGCTTGCTGTGATGACATGGTGTAAAAATTAGAAATGACGGAAGTATCGGATATGAATGGCTAAATATTTCCGGTCACGCGTCACCCCTGAATAATAAAAGATGATTTTTTCTACTTTCATCATCGAAGACGAGAAAAAAAATGGGAATTTTTCTGCTCTCGTTCTCCAATGAAATATAAAATTCATATAAAAGATGAATGACTAACAAACGGAATAAAATCGAGAACCGTTGGATACAAAACTGGAAAACAAAAAAAAAA